CTGTTGTTGCATATCGCGTCGTTGGGTCTACAGCCACACAGCACTAATATGTAATGCCACTTACTTTTGCCGCGCAAAACTGAATTCACGCGGATGATGTAAAAGTGTTATAAGAGCTTTGATGACTCCGTGGCGCAGTCGCCAAGGTATTGGCTTCGGCGTCGGGGGCGTGGGTTCGATTCCCACTCGGGACAACTATTTGTGTGACCCACAGATAGTTGATTCGCATCTGGCCGTTTTTCAGCGTGATATTTATGTTTGTAAAACGTCCTTACAACACAGGATTATGTTATCCTAAAGTAAGGGCAATGTTTTTTTTTATAAAAAAAAACAAAAAAAAACTGGAAGTCGAAAACACTGACCAATTTAAACATGTTACAAGAGCCTAGCGTAAAGCAGAAGTATTTATTACCCCTGGACATCGAGATAACTGATGAAGGCTAATTTGAAGCTTTTTGAACGCAGCTGAAACCATAAAAGAAATCAATCCTCTTACTGAAGTTATGTACTAATTTATTTGTAACGGAACTTGCGAATCTCACATCAGTTTGCTAATGACGTCTAATTTATATTCAAGCCAAATAGTTGATAAGTAGCGATAAATTACTTTCGTTTGGTTAGTAAATGCTTAATATAGCATTCTTTAATTGAAACACTCAACTGTCCAGACGGCTGTTTTCAAGATCCGTTATGCAAATTGCAAAACTCAACACTGATATACTTTCTAATTATATGTCTACTATATTACGCGCGCGTTACTCCGCTTGGCCTGTCATCCAGCAAATATGCCATTAACTGCACTGTTATTCGCAAGAAAAACATGTAAGCTAACCGTATCATACTGTGATGCATGCACCACAACCAATTCGTCATGTTTTATTCGTTTGGACTGGCTTTCGCGTTCACGCAAAGAAGTAAAAACATTTTAAAATTGCCGGGAGAAAATTTCGACAAATAATCTATATCCATACTAATATTATAAATGCGAAAGTAACTTTTTCTGTCTGTCTGTCTAGCTTTCACTCAAAAACTGACCTGATTAACTGAACCGATTTAAATGAAATTTGACACGGATAGATAGTCTGGAGCCTGAGACACGACATAGGTTATTTTTTAATTGGAAAAAAGTGTTGTAAAGGGTTGAAAGATATTTATTTAATTTAAGGGCTTCAACGCGAGCGAAGCCGCGAGCGAAATACTAGTTATCTATATATTAATACGCGAAGCAAAAACTTCGTACTCCTTTTTACGAAAATTGCGCGGACGAGTATGAAATTTCCCACGTTTACAGTTTATATGGAAAAGGAGTGCAAAATGCTTATTTTTTTTTTAATTGTTGGTCTAGTACTAGTGGTCGCCCAGTTGGTCGAGTTTCGACCATCAGTAATTGCATTATCGAGAAATAAAGTTTCCAGATATTAAAATATTCATTAATATGATTAGTTTATTTTTTCACGATTTTGCTAAATGCAAGGAAAAATATAAACGATTCGAGAAAATCTTATATAATTGTATACACAACATTCATGGTGACCATTCAATTATGTGGCATTTCATCGTTAAAAAAATGTTTTAAGAATTTTTCCGTAGTTTGAGAGATTACATGTAATTAGCTTAACTTCCTTAAAATGTAAGCTCACGTCTCGATAAAAACGTATGATTAAAATCCACTATCCGCCGCTAGATGGCGTTGTGAATTAAGGCATTGAAAAAATTGAAGTTTCACACGTGAGTAACTCGAAAGATAAAGAGCATCAATTTGCTGGAAAGTCGCAAATAACACAGTAGTTAGCGTTATTTATTTGCAAGCTATGTTTTTACATGATTGCTGTGAGTGATAATAAGACACTGCAAATCGAACCTTAATGCTAGAGCGATTCTGTTGTGTCGTTGAAAAATTGTATAATTTCCATGTATTTTGCAGTTTTTTTTATCAAACGTTTGAAGATGGGACGGGAAAGAAAGTTATCGACGGTTGAACTGTGCATTAATATTGTATTCGTTCAAAAATTGTAAAAAAAAATATAAATTAAAAAAAAATATAGGTTACACATATTATTATATTCGTCCTATAAGTAAAGGCAAATTCAGTAAAATCAATCTGCAAACGAATTTTTATATTTGGAACTTAACAAAAAGGAATTTCCGATACCGGGAATCGAACCCGAGCCTCCTGGGTGAGAGCCAGGTATCCTAGCCACTAGACCATATCGGATGACGTGTAGGATACTGTAATAGCTATATATATTATTCGATTACACCTAAGGTTTATTTCGAAGACATTTTATTCAGCCTTGTCTTCTTTATGTATAGGTCTCTCGGAATAGAACATGGTTTTGATTTATTTAAACTGACAGCAACAAAGAAGAGGTTATGTATTAGACAATTTTTTTTCACATGTATTTTTCTCTTCTAAATTGGCCAGTTACCTATGACGACTTGACAATCAGTGACGCTGTCATTGTTATAAGTAAACTAAATGAATCGATAGAAACTTGCTCTTGCATTAAAGTCAGCCTATCTATCCCACTGATGAGCAAAGGCCTCCTCAGTAAAGATGTTATTAGGGCGTAGTTCGGCCGCCCCCACTGGAGATGTAGACCTTTCTAGATGTAGGCCTGCCCATTCGTGCAACAGAAGACTGCTCCGTGGCTTTACAACGGTAAAGACCGCATGTCCTCGAAACATCGCCTTGAGGACAAGATATTTGAAGGCGTGTTAAGTCCCATCTACGTCTAAGAGCTTCACTTTGTCATTACAAACGTATGTTTTTTTTTTTTTTTTTTTTGGGCTGGATGAGCCACTGTTGGCCTTAGGGGCCTTTACATTTCCGACGGGCTTGAGGTGGCCTGGCGCACGAGGCGCCTAGCCTGAACCTCGGCGTATTATTATTACACAAACGTATGCCGTCATCGCGGCGTGTTCTTAAGTTGGCATGCACAAGTTGTTATGCGACTTGCGCGTTGCTTTACCTACGAGATTAGCGCAACAAAAGGGATTTTGTCATAATACGCCATTGTTTATGTACGTTAGTTATGTGTAATGAGATTGCGCCAAGCATGCGTTGGAAGAATATGTAAGGTAATGCGCGGTGTTAGGAAATGTTTAGTTTTATCTGTGACAACTGTGCCGTGTGGAGGACATTGGCCCTTAGAACACGGCCTCTCCGAAGACCGGCGTAAAGTAGAATTAGCTATTGATTACTTGATTTCACGTGAATATTATACACATTAAATAAATATAAATAAATATTTTAGGACACATTTTTACACAACGATCTCTAGTCCGAAACTAAGCAACGCGTGTACTATGGGTACTAGATAACTGATAAACATACTAAAACAGACTTTTCTTTTGTAAATAAATACATAATATACATTATTATATATTATACATTATATATATGTATTTACACGAACACACTAGAAAACACTATTCATCGCACAATATTTTTCCAGTAGTGGGACCCTCTGACACATGAGGCAGGTACTCGTCCTCGATTATGATTTTTAATAATTAAAACGCTATAAAATCCGTAAACTAATTTCATTTATTAAATTTTGTAGAGAAAGAAGTACGAAAAGTTTCATTTAATAGAAGTAGATATATCGCTTTCGGTCAGGTGGCTGAGGTAATCTGAGCCCACATTTTCAAGGCTGTCAACGCATCTGAAAATCCTCAGGCTGTGTCCATGGGCGGCGGTAAACACTTAAAAACGGGTAAACCGCCCCCTCGATTGAGAACCTTTCATTTAAAAAAAAACGGGACGGACAGAAATGTTTAACATTTTTACGTCACGGTGGCGTACGTGAAACAAAACATGTAATTAACAATTAAAACATTTTAACTGTGGTAACGGTGTTGTAAATAAAACTGGCGGCGGTTATCACTAAACATCGGGTGAACCTGACGGCTCGCTTGCCACCCCAAAAAGGGCAGACAGCTAGTGGAGAGCTCGTTTGGTTGGTGCATGTCTTGCATGTAGACATGCATCAAACAAATGGCCTGCATGTAGACATGCATCAGCCAAACCACGTCTAACTCGGCAAACGAAAGCGAACGTTAATTGGACAAGATCATCGCCCCATTGTGACGGTGAAAGTGGAAATAGAGAGCAACCATGCGCTGTGACTGACAGACGCATAATCGGACCTCATTATTGGTTTGCGCCACAACACATTTTGCACTCTAAAAACCAGCTGTTTCGGCAGAAAATTGAATGCCGAAATCCTCTCAATTTATCTTCGTATTTAAACATAACAAATCATAATGTGTCCAGAGTTTACGCAATAAGGTTTAAAATAAATTGCACCGGCTTAACAGAATCTCCATCAAAATTTCGAAGCTTAATTGTCATTTCCTTTGATTAACTTTCGTTTAATTTATCTATTAATAACACTATTTTGTTTATAAAGATTAAGGCAATTATTATAATAATTTCTAGTGAAATAATGCGAATTATTATTTATTCAATAACTATGTGCGAAGATAAAAAACGAAAAATTAAAAAAAAAAATGGAGTATAATCATAAATTAAGGAGGAGTTAATTATAGTTTTGCGATATGAAATGGGTACATCAATTGGGTACTTAACTACGAGTAGTTCTCCGATTGGCACAATTTAAAAATTTGTTGCTAAGTTCGTACGAATTAACAAATATGAGTTCAATAAAAAACCCAACTTCATTAAAAATGCTATTCCTCTATTTGTTTTTCGCGGACGCCATATTGGAATCTTAAATCTTAAATCCTAATGTAATTTCAACAACCGAGTCTAATCTTATGAGATCTCATTTTTTGAAATCTGTCAAAATGGGCTTAGTGTCTGCAAAAGAGCTAGACGCCCATTCTCGGCTAATTTAGTTGGCTAATTGAGCGCTAAATGTTATCTCTGCGTACGGCATATATTTTAATTCACTTGCCGTTGTCATATTTATTTACAACACCTATTGTCCATGCTTTCATCTGATGTAATTAAGTTTGTACTCCTTCTATTTCAGAAAGGAATCCCACGTGACAAGTGACAGGCGGCTAGTGATAAGTGACAAGTGTTCGCCCCACCATGGGTCAAGTGGACTCGTGTTTAGTGCCACAGTGAATATGTGCGCGATAATAGTGCCTCTCAGCTGTCATAAGTAAGGTGTAAGTGTCGTAAAAAAATCAAAATGGCGTCGCGGGTGACACTGCTCGTGGTTTTGGGACTGGTGGTGGATGCGAGCGCCCACGTGGCGTTGACCTACCCGCCTGCCAGGCGGCTGGACCTGGACTTCCTGGACAACTCCAGGACAAACCCCCATGCGGGATGCCGAAAGGTCAGTTGAAAATCTACTGTCGATTTTAACCGATTGATCGGTGGCAGGGTTACGCAGCAGTCTCGACTGTTGCACGAATGGGAAGGCTCGTCCGGGTAAGTACCACGACCTCACAGAAGACCGGCTTAAAGTGGAAGTATAATACTTTCGCGTTTCCTTTGGTGAGTGAGGTAGCCGGGGCCCAATTTTCAAAAGGTTGTCAACGCATCTGGAACCCTCGGGTGTAGCAGATGTCCATGGGCGGCGGGTATTCACTTAACATCAGGTGAACCGTCTGCTCGATTGGCAACTTTTTACATTTAAAAAAAGGAGGGTTTTGGCCCACCCTCCTTGTCATACCTTCACGTCTCTCCGTTTGACAAGGCAGGTGGGCCGTTAACATGATTTACGCCTGGCGTTCATCCCATCTTATTTGGATACATAGATTTGGGGCTTACATAGATGGGGACAACATATCAGCCGTGTTGTTAACGGTAATAACTTGGTAAACCCAGATCCGAAACAATTATCGATATGTCACACAAATAGTTTACGTCCCCGCTCAATGTTGTAGTTTTTACATTCGAGAAAATTTTTCGCTATAATTTCGATACCGTTTAGCAAGTGACTTATTGATTGATTTGCGCCCGGTTTCTGGAACACTGATCATCGTAGCTGTTAACTAATCAGCTGTCAAATGGCTTTTGATCATTCCAATCATTAAGATCATTTTGATCCTTTCAGATAGTTTAAAATTTGACAACATATTGACAGCTGATTACTTTATTTTATTGGAACATTGAAAGGTTCTCTGAAATGAATCGCCTTACCACTAATTAATATTCTAGTGGTCGCCCATTGTTCTAAATTCAACCATGGTAGTGTGTGTAATGTATTTTTTATTGTTTTAATGTATTTTAATGCATAATTTAAAAAAAATAGTATTTTCTCCCCTCCTCTATATAAGCTATAAGTGTGTGAAATTTCATACATCTCCGTCTGCGCAATGTTCGTACAAATGGGTTCAAAGTGTTTGGTTCACGTATAATGAAATATATAGATAGATTAACATTTATAAAAAAATTAAACAGGATCTTATTATTTAATGTGATATTTCAAGTATACGTCATGAGCAGTCGTGGCCGAGTGGTTAAGGCGTCTGACTCGAAATCAGATTCCCTCTGGGAGCGTAGGTTCGAATCCTACCGGCTGCGGATCACTTTTTGTTTAAATATATTTATATTCTTTTTGTAAAGTTTTATAATGATAATTATTTGTGATTGAATTAATAGGTGTTCATTAAATAAATTTATTTAAGATATTTTTATAGGTGAAAATTGTTTAAACAAATAACGTGAAGAAGGTTATAAAATAAATGCGTATTGAAGAACAAATTTATTTAACTTATATTATAATGAAAATTAGTACTGATAATGAAAATAAATAATAATTGATAATGAAAATTTAAAGTAAATTCGTTTATTTTGTCATGTAATAATTCCTTGAAGGCCTTTTAAATGACATCGATGACAATGTACAAAATCTTTTAATGTCTTCTTTTTACGCGAATATTAGACGTGATTAAATGAAACTGTTTTGCAAATTTTAAGGCGTTTTATTAATACTAAAAAATAATAACAAATTTTATCCAAGCAAAAATAAAGGTGTTTTTTTAAAACGGTCTCAAATGACATAAAAAAGATAAATTATAAAGAAGCAATGCTATGCCTTTAAGTAGATAAATTATTATAACATAAAGACTTCTTTTAGGCTTTATGGGGCAGAAGAGTCGTGTATTTTATTAACTTATTTAATGTAAAAAAAAAAAGAAAAAATTATGCCTTCTAATTTTGTTGGACAATTATAACGACGATAAAGAAACTTATTTTTTATAAGGGTAGTTACAAATGTTAATAAGATGCAATGTCTTACAAGCTGCGTATTAAAAAGGTAAAGGCAACTTTTACTGTGGTAGGGCCACGCACTGATGGGCACGAATGGGCAGGTCCGTCCGGGGAAGTACCACGACCTCGCAGAAGACCGACGTGAATTGGAAGAGTTCTACTTCTGCGTTTCGTCTGGCTAGTGTCGGTATACTAGCGAGTGAGGTAGCCGAGGCCACTTTAGCAAAAGGTGGCAACTCATTTGCACCCTACGGGTGTTGCAAATGTCCGAGGGCGGCGGTTATACCTAAAATCTGGTGAACTGCCAGCTTTCTAGCCAACTTCTCACTTACAAAGAAGTTAAATATAGTAGTAAATGTCTAGCTAATAATAATTATGTTAAATGCCTTAGACAAAATAAGACACACAATTAGTCAAAGTCAAAACTTATTTTTACAAACTGAGATTTATTATCTTTACACTAAATTAGATCTGTAAATTGAGCACAACCGGCAGAAAAATCTATGACTTTTTATATGATTTTTAATACTTTTGATATCCCTAAATAAACAAAAAACAAAAAGGAAAAACAGAAACTATATTTCCCAGAGCACACAAAAGTTGATTGTGTTGCTTGAGGATTCAAAATATATTTTTTTTAGTAGTACTAACGAAAATATGGCGTAAAAGTTATGCGCGCGCATTTTTGTAAGGTTAGTCTTTTATTGTTGAGCATTACGTCATATGACCGTGTGGCCTAATGGATAAGGCGTCGGACTTCGGATCCGAAGATTGCAGGTTCGAGTCCTGTCACGGTCGAAAGATCCCTTTTTTTTGTTTATAACTTTTGGTATTTTTCTTTATTGTAAAAATCTGCGTGTATTTGTTTTCTACTAGTTAACTAGATAATACATTTTACTCACTAACATTTTTTGTAGTTATTTACATAATGTTTGTCTAAGTAAACGATAATAAATTATTCAAGATTTTACAATAAGTAGGTAATTAAAGCAAGAAGTAATTCTTCATCGTCAAATATTTTTATACAATTTCATAAAAAAGTCAGATTCTTGGTAAAATTAAAGAAAAACTTTACAGAATATAATTTGGCAATCATTATGAACCTGCAATGTTTGTGAAATGAAACTGAGTAATTTCTCTCACCAAGTTACTGTTTTTTGTATGTAAGTAATACAAAATTCCGTACATTTTTCTAATATAAAATTAATTCATTCTCACGTTCCTATTATTTGGTGGCAATTACGCTTAACCTAGTTGCGACATCTATATTCGGTTTTGTAATACTAGCCGCAAGCGTAAAAAGCATATAGTTTTATGAGTTACCTCGCTAGATGGCTCTCCAATATGATGATTTTTTTCAAATGCTTTATTTGTGTTATATATAACCAGAAAAAACATTTTACAAAATGATTACATTTATAAGAAAAAAAAATTATTATACCTTCAAAATGCATATAAACATAATCCATTAAAGATATCATCTAGGTTATTAAAGTAAAACGTTTCCTGGATTTAATGTCAGTAGGTAAGAAAACGTTTTAAAATGTTTTAATTTTATAAAGAATTAAAATGAAACAAACATCAAATAACATTTTTATAGATTTTTAAACGTGCGATAAGTGTAAATTATCATACACGTAAACTTAAATCGTGTGTTGTTCTTATAATTTTTTTATTGTTACAGGAACGTTGAAGACTTCATTTTTGGCGGGTTCAACATTTACCGTTCATTGGCATTTAGCCTATGCCCATAAAGTAAGTGAAATATAAATTCGTTACGATATTGCAAGCCCGGCTAGCTCAGTCGGTAGAGCATGAGACTCTTAATCTCAGGGTCGTGGGTTCGAGCCCCACGTTGGGCGCACACTTTTTGTGACAGATATTTTTTTGTTTTAGGGCGGTTTTAGCTTGAGAATCCTCGACGATTTAGAACGACCTGTTCTAGACCTTACTCCGAGGGCCGGTGGGTCTGAATTCGTGAGGGATGACGTCACGTAAGTTAACTCTTATCTTGTCACATGTTCTGTATATTAATCTAGTAAGACCTTATAAAAACTAAAACTAAGGTACCTATATGTTTTATAAAAAAAAAACAGTTATTTCAGATTTAAATTTCAATGTACAGTTAGTAAAAAAATATATTAAAGAATACCATAATCTTATTCGGGGGCGAAAAATCGATCTGACTAGGTTGCATTTTTATTTTATCCCAGTTTTCAGGGAATGAAAAATATCATTCGAATAAGACGGTAAATTTCATCGGAAAAAAAACATTATAATAGCTCGGTCGGTAATCGGGCGGCCGCTAACAAACAGCCACGAAGCAGAACGATTTACCAAAAAAAAAAAAACAGGTCCTCCAGGTACTAATTATTATCAAAAAGCAATATCTTATCGATAAAGTTTTCGTAGGCTGATCTGGTCTATGTTTATACAGGGTAAATCCCAAACATTGAAAAATTGTGAGGTTTACTCAAAGGAGTCTTGGCTCCGGTTTTGATGAAAAATAAGACTACATCATGGAATTATTATTTACTTGTCGTACAAGTTACCTTTTTATACATTTCGTACCATCATCATCATCATTTCAGCCTGTTTGAGTCCACTGCTGAACATAGGCCTCCCCATAGACGGAAAGTAAACTTCGTCACGTCTCCCACTGCTGGGCAAAAGCCTCCTCTGTACAGAGGTACAGAGGAGGCTTTAGGAATAGCCGTTCGAATAACTTCTTGCTTTTACGTTCCAGCGCCCAAAAGTACGAGGTCCGATTGCCCAGCGACTTCACCTGCGAGAACTGCACCCTCCAGCTGCAGAGGGAGGCCGGTGAATGGGGTCCGTCTTACAGATTCTGGTCGTGCGCGGACATCGACATAGTGCAACGTGAGTTGTTTACTTGTGCACGCACGTAAGAAGATATACTTCTTAAGCGTAAAGACACTAACGCCCGGTTTCTGAAACACTGATCAACGTAGAAGTCAACTAATCAGCCGCCAAATGGCTTTGCAAATGTTCTTTGAGTTGCTGAAATGATTGTTAAACTTTCTGAATTGAACAGAATGATGAAACAGTTGAAACTTGATATGAAAATCTTACTCCCGAACCGAATCGAAACTAGAGACAAGATCGCGCGTTATCCTATATCCTAGGCCTATTACGTCATAGACCACATCCATGTTCACGGTTATATACATCTTTCTTAGATAAAATTTTAATTGTTTAATTTTTTTCGAAATATTATTCGATCATAGTTCCGATTAGAGCCACAACTCGATTGTGCGCTGGCATCAGACGGTGGTACAAACTCCAATGGATTCGAGTCGAATTCGATTGATATATCAATCTGTCCGGAGTAGGCCCTTTTTACGTTCGAAAAATCCTTTACGGATCCCCTGCCACCGGATGGGGGAGGGGCAGGGATAAGTAGCAGTCCCAATAAGAAACGGTTACCCACTAAAAACCCCTGCACCTGTCTCCGTCGCATCAGCCGAGGACACGGAAACACGTAAACGCAATCTTCCGCGGAAACGTTCCGTCTGGAGTAGGCCTGTTTTTTTTCCCTTGTGAAAATCCTTTACGGATACGGTATGTGGGAGCCCCGGTGGGAAAGGCCTGCCCGATCTGAAGGGCAACCACCACGGCGCGTGCGTTGCGAAGCTCACGGTGGTATCCGTCGCCAGGCAAGAAGTTCCACGAGACCTGCTCCGGTCACGGGTTCCACATCCTGGGCAGGTGCAAGTGCCACAAGGCGCACTCGGGCAACAGGTGCCAGTTCGCCGACGAGTGCTCTGAAGATGGGGAGTGTGGGCTGCGGGGGAAGTGCCTGGACATCAACGCCACGGAGGCGCCCACCAGGATGTGCTACTGCCCCCACGGGTTCTACGGGAAGGGGTGCAACAAGAGTGAGTCGATGGATCGCATACTTACCGTAATAAAACAATATATCTCGTCTTCGTCTGAGAGCGTGAACGATAACTGAAAACCTTTCATTTCGAACATACTAATGACATAAGTTTTAAATTTTAACCTTATACTAATATTATAAACGCGAAAGTTTGTATATATGGATGGATGTTTGTTGCTGTTTCACGCAAATACTATTGAATGGATTTTAGTGAAACTTTACAATAATATATAGCTTATACATCAGAATAAGACAGGCTATAATTTATATACATATTTTATGTATATCTGTCTTTCTGTCTGAATGTTACGCCTTCAGCCTATTCTACGCAGACGTAGTCGCGGGCAGCAGTGCAGGGCAAGTGGAAGTATAATACTTTCGTATAATACTTAGTATAATACTTTCCCAATTTTCAAAACGTTGTCAACGCATCTAGAACTCTCGGGTGTAGCAGATATCCATGTGCGGCGGTATGCACTTAACATCAGGTGAACCGTCTGCTCGCTTCGCAACTTTCACATAAAAAAAAATGTAGGCCCCGTTATCCAAAAAAATGTATGTCAAGTGTTAAATAATTTGAAAAAATATCGTTTTTGATACGATTTCGATATTGAATATTTTATATCGATATATCGGATCACAATATAGTGGCTAAAAATATCGATATTTATTTAAAATTATCGATAATCGATATTTTTTCGACATCCCTAGGACTGGGTGGCGCTGTTGCTAAGTTATAGTATACCTACATATATTTATATAAGCAGGTTGATATTTTGTTGTCCTATTTATCAAGTGTAAGTTTTTTTTTATTCATAATTATTAATGAGACACATTTTCTGACTAGTACAGCAGTCTATATTTATTGTGTCGTCTATAGTATTAACATTATGGGACTTGTTTACGTATCTTATTATTTAGCTCTTTTATGTATTTGCCTGTGGGAATAATAGCATTTTTATACTTAATATCTTACTAATGACCCCATTGTATTGCATATTGTATTGTAGTGTAGCGGATAGTGAAACCGTCTCTTGTGCCAGTGGGCGTGATCTCGAACCCCACTACTGGCAAAATATTGTGTGATGAATTGTGTCTGGTATTTAATTATATATAAACAAAAGAAAAATCTTTTTAAGTATGTTTATCATTGACTTAACCCATAGTACAAGGTTTGCTTGTTTGGGACTAGATATCGTGTAAAAATATGACCTGAAAATGTTTATATATTTGTTTGATTGTTTGTATTTATTTTTTTGATTATGTTTACAGAGGCACCGTGGAAGGACAAGAACGTCGACCTGTCTTTGTACACAAAAAAGGAGCTTTCAAAAAGGTTCGCTTTATACTGGCGCGTGTTGAAGGAAGCTGCCGAGATCGAGTTCATAATGGTTGTGAACGGAACTTCTTATGCGGGTAAGCAGCTATATATTATAAACTAGCGACCCGCCCCGGCTTCGCACGGGTTTAAGGTATTATACATATAAACCTTCCTCTAGAATCACCGTAAAAATTTACTCAAATAATTAGTCCCAAAACGCTCCAAAAGAATTTTTATTTTCTGTTGGATTCGATCTCTGGTTCTACAGCTGTCGTAGCGGTAGCAATCACTACGATATTTCGAAGGGTTCCTTACTATTATCTTTAAAACCGGCACAAAAATCATGTCTGTTGTACGGGAGCCCCCACTTAAATAATTTTTATTCTGTTTTTTTTTTAGTATCTGTTGTTATAGCGGCAACAGAAATACATCATCTGTGAAAACTTCAACGGTTTAACTATCACAGTTCATGAGATACAGCCTGGTGACAGACGGACACACAGTCACAGAGGCAGAAAGCGGAGTCTTAGTAGTAGGGTCCCGTTTTACCCTTTGGGTACGGAACCCCGAAAACCGTCAATGTTATTTAGAAATCACAGAATATACAGAAATCACTTCTTTTCAGGTCTCGGTTGGCGACCTAGCGGTTTGACGAAGCAGTGCAAGAACTTCCCGGTTTTAGGACCACCTCCAGACCAGACCAGTAAGTTTACACCTTTTAATTTTGGTAGGGCAACGCAGCAGCCTCGGCTGTTGCACGAATGGGCAGGCTCGTCCGGATAAGTGCCACGACCTCACAGAAGACCGGCGTAAAGTGGAAGTATAATACTTTCGCGTTTCGTCTGGTGAGTGAGATGGCCGCAGCCCAATTTTCAAAAGGTTGTTAACGGATCTGGAACACTCGGGTGTGGCAGATGTCCATGGGCGGCGGTATTCACTTAACATCAGGTGAACCGCCTGCTCGCTTGGCAACTTTTCACATTAAAAAAAATCTCCTCTTTTTTTATTTGTTTCGAGAATGACTGTGAAAGGGATGAGTGTTGAGATGCTGTTAGAGGAGAGTGGAAGGAAATGACTTTCTATGCCCACCCCATCTAGCGTGTTTAAGGGCGGGAGAAGGAAAAAAGAATAGACCTCTCTTTCATTTACTAACATTACACTTGTGGCTTTGAACGTGAGTTGAAAAGCTCGTACAAAGTTGTTGTGTAAGGCTTGGTTAAATAAGACGATATTTTACGGGATTTTACTTGATTTTATTTTTATATTATTCGCGTGAATACAAGAAACCGGTAGTGTTAGTTTTTATGTTTTGGCGAAATAATGTATAATGTGAGATTATAATTTAAAAAGTTTTAGTATTCATTATATATTTTTAAAAAAAAAGGCTGAAAAAAATCGGAATGTGGTACTTTTGCGGGCTGTAATAGTTTTCGAAAACTCACATTTTGGTGTCGAAAATCGTCCATTTCGGTTTTTATAAATTTAATACACTCAGCGGCAAGCGCTAAATAATGGCGAAATTAAAGTCATATCATTCATCTCTTTAACCGTTAAATATTTACCGAGGAACTTGGACTACGTACGTAAATACAGTTCAAATACATGAATGACCCTTCTTACTGCTCTCACCGCAGTCGGTTAAACGGGATTACATTCTTTTTTTGACTTGTTTTCATACTAATTTCAGCGAGCACGCAGAAACCGGAACCGTTGCCCGAGCCGGAGCCCAAGACCGAACCGGAAAACGGCCCCGCGCCGGAGCCGACCTCCGAGCCTGAACCCGAACCAAAACCGAAACCGGAACCGGAAGCAAACCCGGAACCTGAAGCAAAACCGGAACCGGAGGCAAAACCTGAACCGGAAGCAAAACCAGAACCGGAAGCAAAACCGGAACCGGAAGCCAAGCCGGAACCGGAAGCAAAACCGGAACTGGAAGCCAAGCCGGAACCCAAACCGGAACCGGAAGTGACGCCGGCGCCGGAGCCGAAGCAGACCGTTGTTTTGGAGAGCGACAATAGAAACAAACGTGTAGCGATGCATTCCCTGGACGGGCTGGACTTCAAGAACCTTGGTGATGACGTCACGGTCAAGACCAGCGTCTCATACAAGATCTCTAGTTCCAAGGGTGAGTTGATCAGAGCCATCGATCCCAACGGCGACCAGGAGTGGGGGGGGGGGGGGGGGCAGGGGTGATCTCACAAGTAGTTATGTAATTGCTTTTACCGACTCTTTAGTTTAAAGATGTCGATGCGAGCAGGCGATCCATTTGATGTTAAGTGATTACCGCCGCCAATCAACATTTAAAAAAAAACTGAGTGCTTCCAGATGGGGCGACGATTTATGAAAAAAGTGCACCCCGGTCAACTCGATAATTAGAAGAGACTAAAATTGCGATACCTCAAACCTCACATCACGCCGGTTCCGTAAAATTAGAAAAGTTGAGTTTTCATAAAAAAAAATTAAGCAATACATATAGAAAATCACTAACAGCCTCTCCAATTCCAGGTAGAGGCAAGCGCGCCGCACAACAGCCGAACAGTGAGTAGTGACACGCATAAAGCACAAAATCACACACCACACCCGTGCTAATTGCGCACAACGCACACGGGACAGAGAAATCGCTCGCACGGAAAACTCACCCCTCGCGACGCTACCGAAGCGGCGTACCGGGATGTGCATGTGATGCCGATTATTGCGATTGTTTTTGCAGATACCGACGGCCGTGGGGGCCGCGAGACCGGTCCGTACCAGAAACCGGCGCCGGCCGCGGGACCGGTTCCGGTTCCGGGCCAGAGAACGGCGAAACCGTCGCCTAAACAGGTGCAAAGTAATAGGGCCGACGCTGAGCCCGTACCGGAACCGGAGCCCGCGGGCGGACCGGTCCCCGAGCCAATACCAGAACCCAATCCCGAACCGGAACCCACTGCAGAACCTAAATCCGAACCGGAACCTTCTGCCGAGCCCAAATCCATACCAGAACCCGCCCCAGAACCGAAATCCGAACCCGATCCAAAGTCCGAACCAGAACCCGCCCCAGAACCGAAATCCGAACCCGATCCAAAGTCCGAACCAGAACCCGTACCGGAACCGAAAGCCGAACCCGAACCGTCCCCTGAACCAAAGTCCGAACCAGAATCGAGATCCGAACCCGAACCGTCCCCTGAACCAAAGTCCGAACTAGAACCGAAATCCGAACCCGAACCGTCCCCTGAACCGAAGTCTGAACCAGAACCCGTCCCAGAACCGAAATCCGAACCCGAGCCGTCCCCCGAGCCAAAGTCCGAGCCGGAACCATCCCCCGAACCGAAACCAGAACCCGCCGCAGAGCCAGAACCCTCCCCCGAACCCACTTCCGAACCAGAACCCACCCCAGAACCAGAGAACGAACCGGAACCCAACGAGATGGAGAACTTGCTAGTGAAAGGACTCAGAGAGGAATCAGGTATCGTAAACGCTTTGCATATGCGCTATTTATTTATTATATGTACATATGTAAAAAACTTATTATAATATATTTATTATAATAAAAAAAAAAATTATACTTTTTTAGTCTTATATTTAATCTGTATTCATTATCTTTTTTTTAATATATCAACCTATGATATACCTATAAAATTATGGAGTGTAGAAGTAAAGGAGGACCGTCTCGTATGGGGGATTAGTCGAAAAAGTGTCCACTTGTAAACAGTAAATTATTGTTCGAACTCTCACCGAAATAGCGCTAGTGTAGCAAGTGGAAATGATATGAACTTGGCAGTTATAAGCAGAGTCAAGTGTGCTGGGTTGAAAAATTTAATATTTCTCTTGACTTCTGTAGTTAAGAAATATGCAGTATTTAAAATCTCAACTATTTACGTAGTCAATGTTGTTAATATAAAAAGAAAAAATACTACTCCCAACTATACCTAATCTAATAATTTGTGGCGCTCTATTTAAAATTCTTCCACTTGCTACTATAGCGCCACCTTAATTTGCTCCCTTTCAACGGACACTTTTTAATACACTGAAATGGTCTTCCTTTACTTCTACACTCCATATATAAAATATGTATATCGTTGACGTGTGGACGAGGATCGTTAATCGCAATAACAGTTTTTACTAACGGTACCAAGCATACGTTACCAATAACTTATGCCTTTAATTGTTCTTTCTGTATTAATTTTATGTACATGTAATATAATTATATTGTTGTATTTATTATTCAATTACCATGTTTTTGAAATACAGCTACATGGAATGTGAATTAATACATTGGTCAATTTAATCAAACCGACAAGTTGTGGCCTGTACAACATTAAGCAGTTGACATAACGTCATTTAAAAATAAACAATAAATATTACTAACTAACATATTTGTCCATAAATACATGTATGTATTATATTTCTTAATAGCCTTTTAAATTAAATTCTTGTTATGTAAAAATATTTAAATTATATTATTTAATGTGTATGCAGCGTATTGTTTATCTACATTTGTCAATATGGCGGCTTTATTTGTTGCTTATTAATTCACGACCGCATAATATCGGAGCGATTTAGGTTTCTATTTGCTTTGGGCTTCTTTCGAGCTGTTTTATGCACTTTCAGGTCCCCGTTGTCTTCTGTTCTCCTTCTTCCATCTTCTTTCCTAATCTCCTTCTTTATCTCTCTTCGTGATTACTTCTAATTTTCTCTTCTTTTAATTTTCCGTTCTGTTTTAATTTTCTTACACTAATAATGAACGGCATCGAGTGTACATAAAATTTAATAGTTTCATAATTTGTTATTAAAAATGTCGTGCCTATTAACAATTTTGTAGATATTGTACTATATCATATTGGAATTTAATTGCTCATCCTGTTTTATAGTCTACTTACGTTATGACGAATTACGTGTATTTTTTAACAAAAAGGTTCTTTCTCTTTAAAAAGATACAAATAAAACGCAAACTACCGAATTCTAAAACACAGCGATAAAAAATTCTTGCTAAGTAGTACGTAATAATTATAACCCAAAAAGGTTTCCCTGATATTATACATTTTTTATTAAAAAGAAGATAATTGAAAGACGCTAGTTATAATTTAAGCATTAATCGACGGAATTACGATGATAGACAATAAATTCTTGTCAACTGAATCATTCTGTATATATTTCTTCTATTTTTGAAGCCGATACAATTCATCAGCTTATGTAGTTGACTTTACTTAATTATTGTCTCATTTTATGTACTCATTTAACTATTCAACCATTATCGGAGTGGGTCCGTGTTATGTTTGTACGTAATAACTTTAATATATACTACATAGTTATTAGCTAAACGTGTCAATCGAAGTTCCCTAAAACAATCCTAACACTAAACTCAAAAACAATGTCATGGTCACGTACACTGTATTTGTTCTAGCACTTTAAATATACAAACAGATCCCAAAATTACCTCTAAAACAAAGAGAAAGTCATAAAGTATTTGTTTTAGATAAGAACAATCAGGCATGTAACCGTAAAAGTGTCCGAGCGCTCGCTGTTCATTCGAGCAACCTGAGTTCAAATCTTAGTGCCGGCACCTAGGGATGAGGCGTATATACTGGAACAGGTATAAATACCCAGTATGAACATGCCAGTACGCACACCGGGTATGTACGGCAGAGGCCCGTTCCTTACCCGATAGGTATGGCTGGGTATGGCCGCCTCCTCCGACGGTGGCGGTATATAACGCTCGCGACAACCCGCCCGCATACCGGGTATGACGTATGTACGGCAGAGGCCCGTTCCATACCCGATAGGTATGGCTATGGCCGCCTCGTCCGACGGTGGCGGTATATAGGTACGCTCGCGACAACCGGCCGGCCGAATAGGTACGAAGTTCCCCGAACGCTTACGGCGGCTCTTTCCGACCATGCCCGAATTGAAACGTATGATTTAGGCATTTTATACCAAATATTTCCTTGAGATAAGTTTATTCTTTATTTCTATGTCAATTAGGTAGATAAATAATTGCGTAATAAGATTAAACAGTAATATTTATATTGAATTACTTTTTTTTATAATAGGGTTCTTTACGTTGGTAAAGATGGAGCTTAATTCAGACTGATTAAATCTCAATTAAAAAAAAATGATTGCTAAAAAAAAAGATTGCTAAAAAAACATCTAAATGTTCCAATTCCAACCAAATAAAGGTTCAATTCCATACCGGGTCTCCATTAGGAGGCCTGAACATAACTAATACCTATAGGTATTTTGATACTGGGTTTTAGCACCGGGTATACGGCGATACCCGTACCTTTGAGGCCGGGTATAGAATGCTGCAGGTATATCTCATGCCTACCTGCACCAATGAATTTGTCACGTGGTCAGCGGTGAAGGAAAACATAGTTTTGACTTTTAACATAGCGCCATCTATTAGATACTCAATCCAGCCGATAAATTTATCTTACACTGCCATCTGTTAGAATCTTATGGAACTCACAGATACTTAAGATACTTGATTGATACTCTTTGTCATTTAATAAACAAATAATAAGCAATAAAATAATATTGCGACTATAAATTGAGATGTAAGCTACCATATCTTTCAAGTTGGATCAAACTGCACACGGTGTGCAAATTTGATTAAAATCGGTTAAGTAGTTTAGGAGTCCATCGCGGACAAATAACGTGACACGTAATTTATATATATTAAGATTGTTCCGTCACAATGTTTCCAGGATACTTCCCTGACCACGAGTACGCTCCGAAATTCGACTTCAACGGCATGGATTGCACAGACCTGGTGATAGGAACGGCCAGGGGAACCTACCACCGAGTGCTTGATTATTACACCAGGGACAGGTGATTATTGTTTTCATTAGACATTTGATCGGATTCTGAATTTGATTTGATTTATTGATTTTACAACGAGAACAAAGTCTGTTGACCAGCTCGGTAAGAAGTATTGTTCACGTTTATTCAAAGTCTTATACTTATGGGTACTCGTATACTAAAATATGTTAGTATTATTTTTTATTATTTGTTTATATACTTTAATATCAGAATACTGTTATTTTTAACTCTTTTTTAAGTAATACGTCTGCGAGCTGCCGGCGGTTCACCTGATGTTCAGTGATAACCTACACCCATGGACGTTTGCAACGCCTGTTGGGTTGCAGATGCTTTGCCACCTTTTAATAAAGTGGGCCCCGGGCACCACACTCACCAGACGAAACGCAGAATTGTTACACTTCCAATTCCGCCGGTGTTCTGTAAGGTCGTGGTGCTTTGAAGGGCCTGCCCATTCGTCCAACGGTCAACTGTTGCGTGACCCTACCACAGTTAAATAGTTTCAATGAATATTTGCTTTGCGTTTCTGTTATGCATTTTTTATTCCTCGCTTACAGGTCCACCCCTAGGGTTGACACGTTTTGGGGTGGACGCGATGACGTCACGGCCGCTTCCGGCTTCGAGGAGAACGGCGTTACAACAATCATGTTCAGAAGAAAGATTAAGGTGGATAAGTCAATTTCGTTCTAAGGTATTATAAGGGATGTTATAGTTATTAAGGGGCCGTGATAGCTCAGTGTCCGGGCGCTCGCCTTAAATTCAATATACTCGCGCAACCTGAGTTCGATCCCCGGTGCCGGCACCAATGAAATTGTTAATTTTAAGTGCTGACTTTCACGTGCTCGCCGGTGAAGGAAAACGTCACCTGTATGTTTTCGAATTAAAATGAATAATATTTCGAATGCATACGTATTCGTGAACTTTAGCATTCCACACTGGGGTCGCGTGGTGGCTTTGCCCTCATACCCTTTGAACAAATGACGCTTTTGCACAGCTGTAGGACATAATTATACAGGCCGCTACTTTTATGCCCGGTTCCTATATTGATGACGACTTGTAGATTGAAGGAATAGTAACTCACTTTCCTTAGGTAATACAACGGCTCGTAAGGAAAACACTCCGTTTTGTTAATATAGGAACCGGGAACCCCTTTTTGTCTACAAGGCGTTACGAAAGTGCCGAAGCTATGTAACTAACGGCCGTTCAATGAATATAGGAACCGGGCATTAGTCAGTAAAGTTATTAGGTTTGGTCATCATCGATAATGATATTGGTCGTTAATTCAGGCCACGGAGCCGACCGATCACTCGTTTGTGGACGACCTGATGCACGTGATTTGGTCCCATGGACATATACAGGCCCCTATTTTTAGTCAGTAAAGTTATTAGGTTTGGTCATCATCGATAATGATATTGGTCGTTAATTCAGGCCACGGAGCCGACCGACCACTCGTTTGTGGACGACCTGATGCACGTGATTTGGGCCCACGGGCAGGAGAAATCGCCCCAGGGCGACTTCTACAGGCCCGACGAGCTCAAATACCACGGGCACGGCCAGAGAGGGGTTGCCACCATCAACTTCTTCGGTGAGTGTTTTTTTCTTGATACACTAAATGTTTCTTTATCTAATAACTTTAAGGCCAAATGCGAGTCGGACTTGCGCACGAAGGGCTCCGTACCATAAAAATAGTAAGTACCATAGAAAAATATTAAAAAATATTTCTGAAGAATGGGAGTCCCATTGAAATATATTTTAATCTGTTCGTTAGTATTGTTGTTATAGCGGCAACGGAAATACATCATCTGTGAAAATTTCAACTATCACGGCTCATGTAATATAGCTTGGTGACAGACAGACAGACAGACAGACAGATAGCGGAGTCTTAGTAACAGGGTCCCGTTTTTACCGTTTTGGTAAGTACCCTAAAAAGGCCCTGAGGCGCTGTAGACGTCCACGGGCAGCGGTCATCATCGAATAAACTCGGCTCTCGGTTACCCCACTAACCATATGAAACGCGAAACACAACACTTCCACATCGCGAAGACTGTAGCGTGGCCATACCAAAGTAATAAAATTCGCAGTCTGCCCATTCTTGCTACCGCGCTGACTGCTCCGCAGCCCTGTTAATAATAAAACTCGCTCTCTGCCCATTCTTGCAACAGCGAACACTGCTGCGTGGCCCTGCCAATAATAAAATTCGCCATTCGTGCAAAAGCAATAATAAAATTCTCAGAGGAGACGAAATCCTCATCCGCGGGCGGCCTAAAACCCCTGGAAGGGGACCAGTGCGGCGGCCAGTGGATGCTGCCGGCCGATTGCGACCCCAAAAATGGCACCTGCGACTACCACGCCACCTGGGAGTACCTCGGCCTGAGAAGGGGAAAGGACTCCGTCCGCTTCACCATCAGGACGAAGCAGACGAAGCTCTGGACCGGCATCGGGTTCAGCAACAACAAGAAGATGGTGAGTTTCCTTTGCCTAGACTAGGGTGGATCTTCTAGATCGCAGTGGTGGGTGGGATTTACCAGACCCTCCCACACGAATCACCTTCGCCTGTGCCTTTGAATTGAACGGTTATCTTATGGATCACCATCAGACCAGGACGTTGTGGCACCATCACAACGTGCTAACAAAATAGTATCATTATTATGAAAAAGTTAAAAATTCTAATTCTAAATTCCAAATATCTTTATTCAAATAGACGCTTGCGCGTTCTTATGAAACGTCGAAGCTTACATAAATGATTAATAAATAAGTTCCTAAGTAAGTTACCAAATAAACCGTGGTAGGTACACTAACCCTGTACACGCGGTACTCTCGCCCTGTACACGCGGTGCTCTAGCCCCGTATACGCGGTACTCTAGCCTGTACACGTGTGTACCCGCAGTCGCAGACGGACTTGGTCGTCGGGTGGGTCTGCAAAGCTATGATGACTAAGACAATGAAATATGACACCGCAACCTGTTAGTGCTCACGGTACTTTAGCCACACACGTGATGCTTTAGCCCTGTACACGCGGTACTCTAGCCCCGTACACGCGGTACTTTATCCCCGTACACGTGTGTACCCGCAGTCGCAGACGGACGCGGTCGTCGGGTGGGTGGACCCGCGCACGTCGCGGCCGTTCGTCGGCGACGCGTGGCTCAGCGGCTACACCATGCCGAGGCTGGACGACCGGCAGGACATCAGCCGCACCAGCGCCAGCCTCGAGGACGGCTTCACCACCGTCAGCTTCGTGAGGAAACGGGACACGGGGGACAAGCAGGTAGGGCCCCAGTCGGTTGAAGGGAGATGGGGGACAGGCGGGTAGGAACTTCAGTCGGTTGATGGGACAAGGGGGACACACAGGTAGGGCGCCCGGTCGGTTGAAGGGACATGGGGGCAAGCAGGTAGGAACTCCAGTCGGTTAAAGGGACATAGGGGACACACAGGTAGGGCGCCCAGTCAGTTGAAGGGACATGGGGGACAAACAGGTAGAGCCCCTGTTGGTTGAATTGACATGGGAGACAAACGGGTAGGAAGCCCAGTCGTTTGATGGGACTAGTAGAACTGGGGACGATTTGAAGGGACACAAGGGACAAACAGGTAAGAAAGGGGACGGTCTGAAGAAACATAGCGGGAATGCTTGTAGCACGATGAAGGTATTACGACTAGTTTAATCTATGACATTTTTTAAGCCATGATTAGCTGATGGCTGCATTAAAAATTTTGTGAATTTGGATCCTTAATTAGTGTTACTTTAAGAAGTTTCATTAATTTGTACTTCCTCAGTTGTAATGTCACACTTATGTAAACAAGCAATTTTCTGTTTTTGCCATTTTTCTCCTCTAGATTTATGTATTCGTCAGTTATGATATTTTGAAATCATAATATCGCATTACTTTACACAGGACCTTGCGTTCACGGACACCGATTGTCTGTACATGATGTTCGTAACGCAAGGTGGCGGGTTCGATGCCGTCAACAAGCGGATGAGCAAACACCAGCAAGTGCCCTTCGTCACGGAGGAGAGGGTTTGCATCAAACCCTGCGGACCGGGTGAGCGGTCAATCCATTCGTTCTTGCGTTCTTTCACTCATCAATCCATTCGTTCGGTTATAATTCCATTTGTTCGGTCATTAATGCATTTGTTCACTCATTAATACATTCGCTCGGTCATGAATTCATTCATTAGGTCAATTATTCATTTTTTAGGTCATTAATCCATTCGTTCGGGCACTAATCCATTCTTTCGGTCAGGATTCCCTTCGTTCGGCTATGAATCCATTCGTTCGGTCATTAATTAATCAATTCATTCGTTCATAAATCTATTTGTCCGGTCGTTAACCCATTCGTCATTCGATGTGTGCAGTCCGCCAATCCGCAGTGGCGTCGCGCGCTACAATACCCTCGGTACAGAGAAGGACTTTGCCCAGCAGTGGGACATACATTCATTTAACTGTGGTAGGGCCACGCAACAGTCATCGTGCGGCAGGCCCGTCCGGGTAAGTACCACGACCTCACAGAAGTCCGGCGTAATGTAGAAGTGTTACCCTTCAGCGTTTCGTCTGGTGGGTGAGGCAGCCGGGGCCCACTTTCTTTAATGGTGGCAACGCATTTGCAACCCTACGCGGCGGTTATCGCTTAACATCAGGTGAACCGCCGGCTCGCTCTCGTAAAAGGTAACGTTCCCAACCGATTGAGCTACAATCCCCGATTTCTCGGAACTTCCAGAACCGGCGGAGGACGAGGCGACTACGGAGGTGGTGGTGCCAGGAGAGGTGGCCTACTCGATGCTGATCCGCATCACCGGCCTCGCGGAGAGCTTCAAGCCGCCGCCGCCCGGCAGCAAGGAGTTCGAGGACGCATTTACCGTATTTTTTATGGAATAGGTGGACGGCTTCATGCAGTGAGCATCGGTCACCGTATTTTTTTAAGGAATAGGTGGACGGCAGCGGCCAGCTCGTGGACGCCCTCGGCGGGGAGCTGGCCAAGACCAGGGGCTACAAGGGGCTCGCGGTGAACGGCTTCATGCAGTGAGCATCGGTCACCGTATTTTTTTAAGGAATAGGTGGACGGCTTTATGCAGTGAGCATCAGTCACCGTATCCTTAGGCGTATAATTTGGTAGCTAAACGCCAGGGCCCCGGCCGAATTTCTGGGGATGGCAGAATTAATGAAAGTAAATAAAAATGAAATAGTACAGATTAGAAACACCAGGTGAATAGTGCAGTAATTGGTCCACTAAAATTATACTTTCGCTGTATTTTTTAAAACTTAGATCAAATTATAGGAACAAGAATGTGTATAGGATAAACGATGACACTTAAAGAAGGTAATTTTCAATCCAATTCAAAATGTATTCAAAAAATAAAAAAACGTCAAAATTTTACATAATAAAATTAATACGTTCGTAAGTTTACAAAAAAAAAAAAGAAAGAGAAAAGAACCAAAGAAACGAAGAAAAACTAAATTGTTTCTCGTCATAAGAAAAAAAAGTCAATAGTTCTCCCAATCATACAAATATTCGTGCCCACTTTGATCATAAATTAACAATATACACGGTGATTTTATAGACGACGGACATATGACCAGAGCATATGCAGAATTTGATTATAAATCTGAATCTGGTACATACTTTTGACCGCTTTTTATTCAAAGGTGATTTTTAAGTTTTACAAACATTATGGACACCCTATTATTAGAAATTCCCGCCTTACCGTCTCAATACAATAACATAGCCGCCGATCGCGCTGTGCCGTTGCTGTTCGCTGTTTGATTTGTTGCTATCGCTACTGTGTCAATGTGTTCAATCTCTGAAATTATCTTGCCTCAGTGGCCTTCCTTTATTTGTACTTCATGCGTATACCTACAGACTGCAGACTGTAGGGTGACCTCTTAACGGGATAATCAAACAATGTTTGAATTAGTTTTCTGGTTATTTCTTGTCAAAATAAAAAAAAAATTTTTTTTTTAAATTATGGAATGCTCAATTGACATTATGTCAAAGTATGTACTTCGTCTAAAAATCACCCTATATATATATATATGTTATTTTATTACCAAAACGACCTTACCAGGAACGAGACGAAGGCGATCATCGCCGATTTGACATTGAGGTCGATCGACCCCAACCAGCTGGAGGCCAGCCGCTCCCTGGATAGCGCCGTCTCCCCTAGCAACGGTTCATCGGAGGGGGACAGCGATATGCAGAAGTGGCATGGCGCGGTGCAGGACACCCTGCTCGCCGGCAGGGTCGGCAATTTGAACGTGGACCCGCTGTTCCTCTCCTTCGAACCGCTGAGCCGTGAGTATGCAACGAACACACACGCACACACGCAAAGCCAGGCGCGATCCAATGGTGCTACTGATATACGCACACTCGAACGCTCCCAAGTAAACCTTCCACACACACACAAACGCAAACGCGTAATAAAAGAAAATTAATTAAAAGTTTTATACCGTGTGCCAGTACTCTTTGTTTTTGAACATTAAATGCAATTGTTTAATTAAATACTTTGGAATTGTAAATGTTATTAAGTGTTGTTAGTGTTTATTTATATCAAAAACGTTTTTATTGGCCATGCATGCAATGAAGTTGGTGTCGCGCATCTTGAAAATGCACTGTCATCATTTTTCCCCAAAAAAAATATAACTTTAAAAATATTTCGAAGATATGCAAATCCGCAGTGAGTTAGTGATACCCTGTACAGAGGCCTTTGCCCAGCAGTGGGATATAGGCTGATACTTTATATGTAATTAATGCGAATAGTGGTATCGACGCGTCCGACGGAGCCGACCGTGGTGGCAGGCTGGTGGTCGGCGGCCGGTGGCCGACTGTACGTGGTGGCAGCCTGCGTGGCAGCGCTGCTGCTGCTGGCGATGGTGCAGGCGGCATGCACGCTGGCTGCCACCAGGAAAGCGCCGCCCAAGGTGAGGAGGCGACGCTGATGAAGTTGTGGGTGGGTGGTCGCGAAGTTATGGGGATGCGTGGGAAGTTGTGGGGTCCGCGGGAAGTTGTGGAGAGTCCGTAGGAAATTGTGGGTTAAGGCTTTTGTAAAATTATGGGGAGTCCGTGTAAAGGTGTCCATGGGTAGTTGTGGGTGGTCCGTGGGAAGTTGTGGGTGATGTCACTGATACCAACCCGTTGATTGACTTTTTTTTTAATGTGAAAAGTTGCAGGCGATTCACCTGATGTTAAGTGAATGCCGCACCCCAAGGACATCTGCTACACCCGAGGCTTACAGTTGCATCTACCGGGTTGGGCTCCGGCTACCTCACTCGCTAGACGAAACGCGAAAGTATTTATTATACTTTCACATTACGCCGGTCTTCTGCGAGGTCGGGGTACTTAACCGGACGGGCCTGCCCATTCGTGCAACAGCCGAGGCTGCCGCGTGGCCCTACAACAGTTGACTGCACACGATGTCGAATCCGATCCAAGTCCATCGTGAAGAAACCACCCGCCGTCACAACGATCTCTCTCAGGACCAGCTGATCCCGAACAACGCGTGGAAGGAGTACTCGAGCGCGAACACCAACTACGCGTTCGAGCCGTTTGGTGCCGAGAAGCACCAAAGCACCACCTCGACGGTGCTGAGGGGCCGCGCGCCCACGCGCCCCACCAGCCCGCCGCCGCCGCGCCCCTCCAGCGCCCACGCGGACCCGAGGCCGAGGCGCGACGGCACCAACGGCACCAGGCACCAAAAGCACCAAGAGCTCCAACGGCGTCTACGGCCACGGCGGGGCCTATGACGCCAACGGCACCAACGGCACTTACGGCACCAACGGCAGGAAGCACAACAGCGCGGCGCAGTTCTACCACGACACACGGTCCCTGCAGAGGCCGAGGGCGCAATACGGGTTAGTGCCTCTCTGTTTTACATGGTGCCATGTCATAGTGCCAAAGGTAGACAGGGAAAACGCAAAATCGGTCGCCTCTCGTAGGGTTTTTTCAGTCCGAAACGTGATAGGTGACAAGCTTGTCGCGGCGCAAGGTTCGCTAACAAAACATTCTTTGCTGTTGTCTGTCTAAAAGTTGTAATAAGGGAAACTTCTCAAAACGACATTGTGATTCGAATTCGAGACCTTAACACAGCAGGTTTGTTGCAGTGGCCAGACCGTCGCATTAATTTCTGAGGTGACCAAATAGAACATGAGTTTCGGGAACTAATTATGTTAGCTTTTATTTTTGAGAAGTTAAAAGCGTCGGTTCGATGAATAGAGTGGGTGAATTTGAACCCGCAAAAGCCAATGGAATGTCTGACATCCCGACCATTGGGCTATCGCTGTTTTCCTTATTAAACAATTAATCAGAGTACAGTTATCGTCATTTAAAAAATAACCGCCCGCGAATCGAACTGACTCACCGTAAACACTACCACAATTCCTTACATTACCTCGTTTTACAACCCGACCACTTAATTTATACATGAAATTATAACCTGTAACAATTATATGATCTTATTTCAATAATAATGGTGAATAAAAAATAAAAAAAAAACAATGCAATACTAATGATGAATAAAGAAGAATTAATCTTGTTTCAATAAAACGAAACATAAAAGATCACCGATATTGCTGAAGGTATATCCTTCGTTTGACCGACGACCGTATGAGTCCCGTATTTAGGCACACGAATCAATAGAACCAGAAATAAGAACAGATAATAAACTAAATAATCTTTATCGTGTAATGCAAATCATAAAATTTTGTACTAATTACTGATTAACCGAATGCAAATCATTAATCACAAGACAAAAGGTCCATCTGGAAACTAAGGACATATAGAACCAAAACCTCTACAGTCTAATCCCTTATACATACAGTTTGTTTACACATTCGGAAGCGGCCTTATACTGTTAGCAACACCAGTTAGGTCTTCAGAACTTACAACAAAAAGCAAAAGATCCCTGTCGGCCCATAGTTCTAAATTCGCACTTAACTAGAACAAAATTAGTTTGAGAAGTGCAGTCTTAAAGATATGTTGCAAGACATAGATCATTATACAGGGAGATTTTTTGAGAAGTGCCCAAATTTACACAGGAGGTTCAGACTCGGTAGTATAATCGTTTATTGAAATAAAAAACAAAGTTTTTTTTTTACAAAAAAATGCCATTCTATTCCCTAAAAAACAGAACGTGTTGACAATGCGGTAGTCATTCATAAATACCTAAATTTTACTGTGCACGAACTTGTGTGCGTGTTAGTTATGAATGATCGCAAGTAAAATAAATGAGTTGCATATAAATCACGCACTTTTTGAGAAAAGTTCAAATGAATGTAATTAATTACCTACCGAGTGAATTTAAATATTTATCATTTTTATATAACATTATTTATGTCTAGAATTTAATAAAAAAATGGAATAAAAATGAAAAAAAAAAATTATTAGAAAAGCCACGCTGTAACTATACAATTAAGTTAACAATGTAAAAAAGTCACAAGGTCAGTATGGAATTACCTAAAATGTCTTCGAAACCCACGTTTAAATAATTGTTGATTTTATTTACTTACAAGGATGATAAAATATGCGTAATATGTTATCATCCGCACTAGGTAATAAATAAATATAAAATGACAACGTGCGAAGGCAAAATAGAGGAAAATTATGAATGTATATTTCATATAGTACCTGTGATTATGCTTATAAAATTTTACAGAATTACCATTCCATTTCGCTATAAACCAATCAAAATATTAACTCTAGTAAAATAACGAAAACAAAAAAAACTTACGAGTCGTTAACTCTTTCCCAAAAAAATGTTACTACACGTCGTTAAGTTATCGATATTAAATATAATTATAAAAAATGTTCAGACCCTTACCTTAAACTTTTTTCGAAATAGTTAATTTTGAGTTGAAAGTGATTTATAAGGTCAATTAGGACGGCGATTATAAATCGTGCGAAGGCCAAATTTTCATTTACATTCAAAACCTTTTATTGTTAACACTTTTAGCGGGAAAAAGTATATTGGTAAAACATCGAATTGTATTAAATGATGGGAAATTTCAGTGCATAGTGATATGACCGTGTGGCCTAATGGATAAGGCGTCGGACTTCGGATCCGAAGATTGCAGGTTCGAGTCCTGTCACGGTCGAATTAATTTTTTTCCATATAATTTCAGTAGGCACTTTTTCTTATTATTTCTTTCTTTTCCCTTTTGCGGCGCGCTTTCTGTTCAATTTTATATAATTCAAATTCATGTAGATGAAGTGAGTCGATTTGTCATAATGTCGAATAATAATTATTTTTCGAATTTAATATTGAGGAATAGTAAAAGTACCTACCTTGCGCAATTTTATAAACTTATTTTAAATAATTATGATAAAAATTAAAGTTTTACGATCAGTCTTAAAACAATGTATATTTTTACTTTTTTTATGCTTTTCATACAATGTATGATATAAGGACGTAATTTTGCCTCATTAAAAAGTAAGCTAGACTTAGCATAAGGTGTTGATTAATTTTCACATAAACTTATTATGGATTTTATTTTTATACTATTTAATGACATTATTTTTTCTGTCCATTGTTATTTTTTTCTGTTTTTAGAGTTTCATTATAACAATAAACCAAAGCAATCTTTCGAGAATATGACAATTTTATTACTAAAATTTGTTTTGCCTTAGTTTGTTTTATAAGTAGTCATAATTTACATAGAGATTCCGTCATTGTATTGTTACATAGAACTATTGTTTGTTAAATTAGGTCTATTTGTAGTAACTTCGCTTCGTAATGCTGCAAATCCTATTTGCAAATACAATTTAATAATTTATCAGATGTTACGTTTTTTTATATTTGAGAAGTTAACGAGAGAAATTAGGAATCATAAGGAAGTTTGTGATAAATTAAAATTTACAAGCGCTATCCCTGTACTGTTCGCTTGAATACTTAATATCCCTGTCCCTCAGCATTTTTTATATTATACAGCGTGTCGTTACCACCGCGACAATAAATGAACTTATATAACTTATTAACGTTAATATTTTTTTTATTATTATTGGCAAGAAGCGTTCGACGTGTGCTCATTTATTGTCGCGATGGTAACGACACGCTGTATATACCATCATGTAGCGACGCGTCGCCACGGCATGCGTCGCCACGCCAGAATTTTTTTACGTGCGGCCACAGATGTTTCACATCGAAAACGCGATGAAATCGGTAAACTAGTTTCGTTTGACGTGACGTATTAACCGCCCAACCGACGCCCGCAGGTCGTACGGGGAACGGGACGGCGACAGGGCGGCCTACTCACTGCCGCGCGGCGCCCGCAACGACCCCGGCCAGCCGGACTTCTACTTCATGCCGTCCCAGAGGAAACACGAAGGTGAGATCGTTCGCGTGTTCGTTCCCCGGCGAGATTGAGTGTGACTTCCAGCTTAGATCTAGCTTAGAAGATACAGGCATCTTCGGATGCCGTACGCGCGAGTCGGCGCGTCCGGCCTAACGGGAAGTAAATTTATAGGGATAGTAGTTGTGTGTAGTTGTTGTTGAGTAGCAGTTGCAATAACGGCTTGATAGCTCTCGCTGCACGATGTGTCCAGTCAGGTACCACAGCATCGCAGACCGGCTGGTTAAAAGTTGAGAGATTATTTTATTTTTATTATTTTATTTTTTACACTATCGTTTGGTCCAGCGAGTGTGGTATTCGAAGGTTTGACCTCAGTGTTTTGAAACTGGCCCGAAAAATCTCTGGTGCTGCGCTTAGGGTTGCCAACTTCTTCTACTGAAGAAAACAGTCAACGGAAACAATCGAAACTCTTACAAAAATAAACTGCAAAAAGAGCATACATGGATAAAGTAATACCAAAGATAAGATATAGTATTTTTGCGTACTATATACAACTCCAACACTATCATATCGAAAATAAAGTACAGCTTATTATAATGTGGTTGGCAACCCTATTTGCAAGGGCCGCCGTTCTCATGCACCTGTGGATGTAGATAAATTATACATAGTAGAGTATTTATTATTAATTATTGGGCATTGATTTAACGCGAATAATTCATGAATCAAATTAATTAAAGGAATAATAAAATTCGTTAACTGTACCTAGTGTAGTCCAGATGTCAATTATAACGATTTATTAAGACATTTATATAAGATAACAACAGCCCAGCACTAATCATAAAAAAGTCTGACATTGACAGTAAGATGTATAAATGGTTGGATTTAATTTGTGTCTTTGTATGCCTTTTTGTATGTTATTAGACTAACATTTTTCCGTGCGTGCAAATTCATTTTTCCTTTTATTACAATGTACTGTTACATTGGTCGATTATCGCTCTCATAGAAAAAAATCGATTAGCTATAGGTGCGGCAGAATACAAATATAAGAAATTTTTTCATCAATGTTAAACAATTTTGTTGTCTGAATGTTCATAATATCATTTTCTGTGCAGCGCGAAACAAACTAATCTTATGAGCATGCGCTCATTATCTTTTATTACAAACAATGTATTGTTACATTGGTCGATTATCGCTCTCATAGAAAATATTTGATTAGCTATAGGTGCGGCAGAATACAAGAAATTTTTAATGTCATCTTTTCGATTGCACAAAATTTAATATCATAATGTTTCGTCAATAGTCGTAAATATAATAATGTTGTATTCTTTTATTTTTTTAATTTCATATAAACTTAGTCACACTGCTGTCATATTTGTAAAGTGTGCGGCTTACGAAACTTTAGTTAAGAATTTATAACATAATAAATTTAATATTAACGTGGGCTTGTATTTAATTACTTCTATTCCAAAAGGCGATGAGTAGTTGTCGTATGTAAATTAAAGTTTCAGATTAGACAAAGTAATGGCTATTGTAATTGTAAAATTGTAAAATATAATGTCAAGAGAAAAAAAAAATATTCTTGTCAATAATTGTAATTGTTATAATGATCTTGCAGATAAAAACAAATCAAAAGAAACAAATTTATTGTTTAGCGGAAAATGTGTTTATGATTAAGAAAGTATTCAATTGGTTTTACATCATTGTTATGCTCTGTTTTCAATCTTAAATGTATATTTCAATTTAATTAATGCTTGTAGACGCTTATAAACTAACAATAGAAAATACTGAGAAATTGCTAGTGACATATATTTCTAATTATATAAGCGCCATCTGTTGTCTATTACAAATATATTCTTTAAAAGGTATTTTATGATAGATGGCACTTTTAAAATACTGTAATTTACTTATGTAGTACATACCTAATTATTTTCATCACAATGATAAATAAATAAAATTTAAATGTAATGGCTTTTATTTCTGCTGTTAAATTTAAATAATACATTTTATAAAAGGTAAATATTATTTCTTTATGGTTTCGTGGTTACTGTCCGTGATAACGTAATTGTTTTCATTTCTTACTAACAATTATTATTATTATATTCAAAATTATTTTTCTTGTCGATCTATAGATAATATAGTATATATATATATATTTAAAATAAATCAGGATACTTAATAATTGAGGATTAATAAAATATTATTTTTAATTATCTTTCTCGCTCGGTGATGGCCTTTGGTTATTTATTTATTGCTGTAAATGCTATAAATTGTTCTAATACAATATTTTTTGTTCCAGATTTTTAATCAAGTAGTACACCAAAGTGTTATTGGTTGACGGTGTAGTCTAAATATTACGAAGCTATTTATTAATTGCTATTCCCCTTACAAAATATTGTAGAATAATATTATATTTCTAACTAATGTCATCTAACGGAGTTTTGTGTCTATATTAAAATTCTTTCATAGTGTTTTAAGTTAAATTTGACACAATTTTCAATTAATATAGTTTAACTCGATGACATTAATATCTTATTGTATATCCAAACCCGATCTAGTCGCGTGTCACAGTTTTAAATTTAAGTTATATGCTTTACTCATTTGCACTTTTGATGCGGCCACAATTGTTTATTTACTAATTACTTTCTTAAAGTAAATATTTGAATACGCACAAATACTGTAGTAATTATGTCTGAACAAAACTTAATGTTAGAAAAATAAGTTTAGCAATAAGCAAGAACTTTTCTGTTAGCTTATTTCCCCAAGTTATTTGTTCATTTCAAACTAGGTCAGGTGAGTAAGGGGAGTTGTGTGAACTTTTCAAGGCCGGTTTTACTTAAGATAACAGTGGTATGGTTTGAAATTGCAGAGATTTTTAGTTTTACAAAAATCTATTTACTTTTCACAATGTAAACGTTTATGATATGTTTGTAAATTAAATGTCAATAGTTGCAAAAAATATCGCGAAAGTTATTAAAGTGTACCTGAAAATCAATTTTAGATTTTCATTTACGTAGATTGATGTTGCTATTCTAAAACTTTCCGAGTTTCTTCTGTTGAGCTGTATTTGTTTTTTCCACTTGTACTCACTATAGAAAAAATATATGTTAGTTTCAACTTATGTTTTATTATTAAAATTTGTGGCCGTGCACTGTGAAATAAATATTGTAAATATTGAAATTAACAATTCATTGCTGTACATTTGCGTACTCTGTATATTTTTGTAAAATACAGAAAATCACTAATATAAAACAGATAACGTATTCCTTTTTACATTGTGTATAGGTTAATGTTAAGTTACTGAATATAGATTAATTTGGTTCATCGTTAATTCTTAGCAAATATGCGATTTTTCTAGTTTCGATTGATAGTTGAAAAAAATATTGATTTGACATTATTGTCTCTACAAAACGTAATTATTGCGAAAATTCATTATAATCTAAATGTGTCGGTGCTGTTGAAAATCTATTCCATGGTGCTTTGGATGTAGAGATTTGTTCGAGTATTTTGTGTCCCCACCAGTCTGGGAATATGTTTTCTTAGAAATATATAATGTATGGGAATTGTTTAACCGTTTAGTTAAAGACAAGGTAGATTTGTGTTTGAGTAATTAGAGAAAAGTAATGTTCGTTTATTAATTTCTTTAGTAATAATCATCTAAACATGCTGACATTCCAAAGTAGGATAAGTACATGATTTAAATAGTCAAAAAGTGTTCGATTAAGTGAAGAATGTTTATGATGCAAAAGACGAAATATCTTTTTGTGCCTCGATAGTAAAGAATAGCTTCTGAATATTTTTTTAACAAAGAAAGAAGGAGAATGAAAATCGAACATTTTTTGATGATTTCTCGTACGTATTCTTTATAATTGGGTTAAGTTAGTGTCTGTGAATTTGGGAAACCCGTTTATTTTATGTATTTAACACATCGAGGTTTTAAACGCGTATTACGCGTGTACGTTACCTGATTTTTTTTAAAATAAAACCAATTATTAAAACATGTATTATTTTATTTAAAAAAAAAAGCGAAATATATCACCTTATAAACTTTTATATGTTTATTCAAAAATATCACATTTTATTTTATTCTTACAGAATAAAGGTAAAATCTTTAAATTCATTTCAAAAATATAAATGTCACATAAATATCACAATTTATTTTTTATTAAAAAAAAACAGTATCATACTAATCTCATAAAAGTTGCTATACTGAAATAACCAATATAGCGATTGATGACATGATCTGTATCTTATTATAAAAAGTATTATACAGCGTGTCTTTATCATCGCGACAATAAATGAACACACATATAGAGGATAACTTTTTAAAATTGTATTAAAGATTTACATTCTTTAAACATCAATATTTAACGAGTTATCAAATTTTCCAAAACAAAGAATTTTCGAACACCCTTACGTATAAAACTTTAATGTTAAGTTCATTTGTAAAGGTCACAAAGCATATGAATGGGTTAAATGAATTTAAAAGAGACAAAACATACTGTTAGAAGGAGGGGCTTGTAATGCGACGCTGTGGCAACGAATTAAATAGTCTCTGAATGTATGAATCAGTCATAAGTAGTTTTATAGGATGTTACAAATTTTGTTTCTTTTTTACTTAATTAGTTAGTTTGAAAAATATTTTTTTGTAATTATGGATTTTTTTAAAGTTAATATTTTTTTTTTATTATTGGCAAGTAGCGTTAGACGTGTGTTCATTTATTGTCGCGGTGGTAACGACACGCTGTATAAGTGTACAAATATACAATTTATTATTTAATAATGCATATAATATACATATTTGGTTAACGTAAAGCAGACGGGACATTTATCTATGAATATGTCTTTTATGTCTAATTTATACGAAGTCAGGCATAAGTTAATTTAGTTTATTAAGTTAGGCATATAAAACACAATTAATGCTGATCAATTAAAATTCAGCATTAGCTCTCTTTTACGTATTTTAATTTCTCGTAACACAATAAAAACATCTGAAATACATAACTGATTTTATTTAGTATGAAATGAAATGTTTAACTGTCCTGCGCAGTATATAAAAACACGCAGACAGTGTTCTTTGCAGATTATCGTTTCTCTATTTAATATTTTCCATATCAAGGGATAAGGATACAATGCACAGGGATACAGGCTTAAAACTATACAAATGTAATAAAAACCCCCGAACCAATCCCAGTTTATTCATTCATTTTATGGTTTTATCATTAAAGCTACCATAACCCGTAACATTATAACTTGAAAATGGGCCACAGTATAATAAAACTGTGTGTTACAGGCTCGACTTAACGCCCCTTACCAGTTTGTTCTTGAAACGCCACATGTCCTGGAACGAGGGGAATTGAATTTTATCGATCGAAAATAAGGTTATTTTTTGGAGGTAAGGAAAAAAATTATCGACTTTTTTAAAAAACGTAAATGTTTTCAATACAATTAAAATGCGTAGTAACATTATTCATATTCAGGGTGGCTTTTCTAAGTGTATCCATTTTTTTTTTAAATTCTAGACATAAATAATGTTATATAAAAAATTATAAATATTTAAAATCACGTAAGTAATTGATGACATTATTTACAAAAACTTATCTCAGTGCGTGATTTATACGCAACTCATTATTTTACGCGCGATCATTCATAACTATCACGCACACAAGTTCGTGCACAGTAAAATTTAGGTATCTATCAATTACTACCGCATTGTCAACACGTTCTGTTGTTTTAGGGAATAGAATGGCATTTTTTTTGGGAAAAAATAACTTTGCTTTTTTATTTCGATAAACGATTATACTATCGAGTCTGAACCTCCTGTGTAAATTTGGCCACTTCTCAAAAAATCTCCCTGTATAACGCGTACGGATGAATAGCGCTTGTTGATATCTTCTACCGCTTTGTATTGATATTGCATATATGTCGCTCTCTCTCTCTCTCTTTCTACTATGTATCGTTCTTCTCTTTCGTGTAACGGAATGTGCTTTAATGTGACGCTTTTTTGAAATCTCAGTACATCATCTCGTACAATAGGAATGACAAATAATGACTCATTTTGAGTGTTCTCGAATAAATGATTAAAATTTAATTTAAAATGCGATTAAGTTAAGCGGTCTAATGTTAATTTAAGCTATGTTTTCAACTTGCTGGAGGGATGTGAACGAACATTAGTGTAAAACGACTGTCGATATTACTAGGTCATAACTTAATTCTGATGCCTCTTGCGCCAGCGGGTATGGGTTCGACCCCCGCTAATATTAAAAAAATTGTGTGATGAACATTATTTTTCAGAGTTTAGGTGTTTACATATTTATGATGTACATTTATTTACAAAAGAAAAATATTATTATGTTTATCAGTTATCTAGTACCCATAGTGCAAGCGTTGCTTAGTTTGGGATTCAAGAATGTTGTGTAAAAATCTGTGGAGTTAATACTGTTGATACCCACGTAGGCTAAAATAAGACTATTTATACCGGTATGTTACAGTAAGGTGCAAGACTGAGTCAGTATGTTACATTTTTATAAAAAGTAGCATAAAAAAAATATTGGATTAATTAATTAATAACAAATAAATGATGTCATTAAAAACTAGATTTATTCATTAATTTTATTAAGAAAGTCCGATAGTCTTGAACATACTTTTGGTTTATAATTATCATAAGAAGATTTGGTTCACTTTTGCACCAGTAAAAAAAAAATATTTAGTCCAAAGACCATTTGCTTTTATAACAGCACGCAATCTGTTCTCCACACTTTTTACAAGTCTTTCACAATACTCAGATGGAATTTGGTACCACTGCTCTTGAACACGTTCCCAGAGAACAGTAATGTTCGATGGTGTTGCTTTATATTCATTTAAAAGCATGCTCTTCAAGTATGCCCATAAGTTTTCTATCGGATTGATATCCGGACTCTGAGATGGCCAGGGCAGGACCTGAAACTCTTGTTTACTCAACCAATTTTTTACTGTTTTCGATGTGTGCTTCGGATCATTATCCTGCTGGAATATTACTTCATTAACTGGGTACGGCATATTTTCAACAACTTCCAACAGATGTGTCTGAAGAATGTTGCGGTACATTTTCCCGTCCATATTTCCTTCGATTTTGTAAATTCGTCCAACGCCATAAGCTGTTAGACAGCCCCACAATTTAATATTGCCACCACCATGCTTCACTGTTTGTATAAAATCTTTTGCTTGTAATGGTTCACCGACTTTCTTCCAGTTCCATTTTCGACCATCTGTACTGTATCTATTAATTTTGGTCTCATCTGACCAAATAACTCTCATCCAATCATTCTTAATCCACTTAAAGTATTCTTTTGCAAATTTATTTCTTACTTTGATATTTTTCTTAGTAAGAAGAGGTTTTTTCTTCTTCTCGATGGCTCGCATATTTGCTTTGTGTAACCCCCGACATACAGTCCATTTACTCACTGACGTGCCAGTGTCTTGCTTTAAAATTGCTGCCGCTTCAGAAGCTGAAGACGCTTCATTAGATCTTAAATAGTGAATAACTTTTCTCATGTCTCTATCAGATAATTTTTTTGTGCGTCCGCCAACATTAATCGGTATTGGAAATCTCCATTTGGTTCTAATTCTTTGTATTGTTGATTGACTTACGTTTAATTCTTGAACGATAATATCTTGTCGATTTCCCATTTTTAAGTAGCTCTTTAACATATTCTATAATATTCTTTGCAATCGGCTTCATGTTTGTATCGAAAAGAGATGTATTAAGTTAAACCGTTCACTACGCTGTATCGAATTAAACTGAGTAATAAACAAAGCGGAATCATATTTCTATACTAATCCTGACAAGTTTAAACACGTTTATACTTGAGCGCGAAGACATTTTTTAACACGGTGGCAAAAGTGAGTCAATCAATATTAACTATCTCAAAGTTTTAAAGCGTAGATATTGAATAAAAATTGTACGGGTGAAATAATTAGTGGGTTATATTTTCTAATAATAACATATACGATTTCAAAAGCTTTTAACTAGTGTTGATTGATTGATTTGATAAAAAATGTCAGTGTACTGACTCGAGTTTTGCACCTTACTGTATATTGTAAATTAATATTTTTGAAAAAGAGCAACTGTTGAGTTTCTTGCCGGTCTCTTCTCAACAGAAACTGCTCTCCGAACCAGTGGTACCTATATACCTTACGAACCTATATATATATATAATTTCTTATGTAAAATTTGGCGATTCGTAAGAACGCGCAAGCGTCTATTTGAATAAAGATTTTTGATTCATTGATTTATTGAAAGTGACCATTCGAAACCTACCACATACGAGAGCCGTATTTTCCTGCGGTTGGCTTGTTCTTCTACTGCGCGAGCGACCGACTCCTGAATCGTGCCCTCTATATCTATATAGTGGCAGGATCCGTTAGCAAAGTGGCAGGTTATCGCCTTGCGGTACCCCTGCAGGCAGAAATGTTTAGGTCAAAGTTATCATCTTGCAGTAACCCTAGAGGATCTTGTATCTTGTATTAACTGATGTTTTTGCTTTCAGTCCCGAGACTATTAAAGCTTCATCTGACGCAGAACCGGTGGGCTAGCCAGAACCCACGGGTTAGCCAGAACCCACGGGTTACCCTAGAGGAGGAAATGTTTCGGTCAAAGTGATCGCCTTGCGGTAACTCTAGATGAGGAAAGGTTTTGGTCAAAGTTATCTCCTTGCGGTACCCTAGGAGCAGTAAATCTTTTGGTCGAAGTGATTGCCATACGGTAAACATAGGGAAGCAAATGGCCGTGATTGTCCGGGGGCTCGCTTAATCAATATACTCGAGCAACGAGGAAATGGCCATGATGGCTCGTTGTCCGTGCAATCGCTTATATAATATACTCGAGCAACCTGAGTTCGGTACCCGGTGCCGGCAAAAATAAAATTGTTAATTTTGAGTGCTGATTTATCACGTGCGGAGCGGTGAAGGAAAACATCGTGACAAAACCTGCATATTTTCGAAATAATAACAAAAAAAATGTCTCGTAGATATGTGGAGTCCGCCAATCCGCAGTGGGATCGTGTGGTGGACTATGCCCCATCCCTCTGTACAGAGGAGTCATTTGTCCAGCAGTAGGACATATACAGGCTGTTACGTTTTACTTTGGAGGAGGAAATGTTTTGGTGAAAGTAATGCCCTTGAGGTATCCCTGGAGAAGGAAAAGTTTTGGCCAAATTACTGCCTCACCTCTTACGAGAGGATACCATAGGCCTATTTTATGACAGGCAGGGAACCACAGGTAGGGTACCATAGCCAGACTCCACAACGGGGCTAGTGAGAAACCTGGAAGAAACCCATCGGCCGAACCTTCGAGACGTTGGGCCCGGAGCCGTGGATCAGAAGCGGGTGGAAGAAAACGGTGTCCCCTGGCGCCATTGGCAGGTGCACCCGCCGGTGGTCGGGAGCCATCGACTCGTCCACTATACCGTGGTACAGCTTGTTCGTGTCCTGCTGTGCGGAAGGTGCCCCATGATCGGATCGAACATGATAGAACCGAACAAACGGGGGAGTACCGCAAAAATCGAAATCATTCATTCATCGACATAAGAAACATACATTTTATCTATCGATAGTAATTTTTTTTTAATCTACAACCGTTTCGTAACGAGGTGAAGAAAAGGCGTATCCTCTTTTTTGTCATTCTTTTTTAAAAAAATTAAAATCTTATACAGCTGTGTTTTTTCTTTCTGTCACAAAAAATGTTGTATCAGCGTGGTAAGCCCGCGCAAAAGTCTTCGCCGTTGCACGAATGAGTAGTTCCGTTCGGGTAAGTACCAAGACCTCACAGAAAACTGGCGTGAAGTGGAATTATAATACTTCTGCGTATCGTCTGCTCAGTGAGGTAGCCGTGGCAGACTATTATAAGGCGGCAACACATCTGCAAGGGTGCTAGTGTTGCAAATAACAGATGACCCGAAAGTTCGCTTGCTACCTTCACAAATAAATTGAGTTCTGATCACCTGGCATTGTTAAGCTATTGACTTCTACACCGGGGTCATGAGTTCTATTCCCACACAAGTGTTAGTGTGACAAGTGGATACAGGGCCAGATTTACAGGTCTGGAGGTCTCGGGGCAACAAAAGTAAAACGGGAAAAAAAATACGAAAGGTAAAGTTGTTTACTATTGTCCACTAGTCCGAATTTGAAATTTATCTTCCAAAGTCTCTATTGCCTTTATTGCCCCGGGGCTGTTGCCCTGGTTTCCTTCCTCTTAATCCGGGCCTGCATGGATAATGGTTCCAGATCTGATTGTTTATTCCCAAGTAGAGTTGACTAAGGGCTGGCAACCGGTCGTAAAACATCCAACTAATACCACATGTTGTGCCGACCACACAAAGGTGGGATAAGGGCAGGAGAAAGAGATTTATTTATACTTTCATTCCCGCTTTGTTTCGTGAAAGTGTTGATCTTTGATCATGGCGGTGTAAAGGTTGATATTTAGTACGCCTCTGGCAGCAAATCAATTAATAACAACAATTAATGGATTATGATAACGCAGATAGTACCAAAACAAACTTTGATGACGAGGGAAGCGATGGAGGAATACATTAAATTAAATTAGAGGCAAAAACAATAGTCATTTTAATCGGATTTCGAATTAGTTGTAGAGAGCCGTGATAGCTCAGTGTCCGGGCGCTCGCCTTTAATTCAATATACTCGAGCAACTTGAGTTCGATCCCCGGTGCTGGCACCAATGAAGTTTTTTACTTTAAGTGCTAACTTATCACGTGCTCCGCGGTGAAGGAAAACATCGTGAGGAAACATGCATATTTTCGAAATAATAACAAAAAAAAATATATTTTTCGAAGATATGTGAAGGCCGCCAATCCGCAGTGGGGCCGCATGGTGGACTATGCCAAAATACCCTCTGTATAGAGGAGGCCTTTGCCCAGCAGTGGGACATGTATTTGGTTGTTACTTAACTTTTTTTTTTAGGAATTAGTAAAATCCTGATAGAACTGACCGCCGGCACTTGATGAGCGATCAGATTCACGAGCTTGTGAGATTTGGGAACGACGTACAGACATCCGTTTTCCTGGTTGACGTGGTCTATGGCGGTCCACGCGGCGACGATCTTGTCAGCGGGCCGGAACGGGAAATAGTAGAGATCCTGGAGGAAATGTTCTGCATAGATATGATGTGTAACTAGATTGCGGCAGTATATAATGAAACCTGTGAGACGCTTGGCAAATGATTATTAATACGGCGTATTGGAAATGCTTATTATTGGATAATAATGTCGTTCATTTGGACTTCCTTTGGATGTTTTATGGTTTGTAGTAGACTTGCTGGTTCGTCGTCAGTTGATGAAATGCAACAGGTCATAACCGAAGACCTTGTAGATGTAGGTCTTCGATCATTCTTCTCTCACCAAGGCGTGGCACAGCATAAAAAACGCTTTTATGTCATCTAAGCATTACTAACTGAAATATAACGACATTTCAGTTAGTAATGCTTCTAGAAACAATGAACGATCGCCGGAGTTTAGGTTGCAGAGACCAGCATTGAAGACAGACAATACGTAGGTAAAAACAATCGAGGCCCATGGCACCCTTTGCATTTTCACTAAAGTATTACGTAGACAAGTGAACTTCAAGACTTCTTTCAACACTTTGAAACGTTTGCGAATTTGGAAAATCGTCAATTGTGGTTATTTCTATAACGGATGCTCGGAACGTCACGGTAAAGCCCAATACAAATCAGCGATTCCGGAACATATTTGCTAATGGCCACTACACAAAAATAAATAATCCTAGCACAAAGTAAGGATTATCGCCACTAGAAATATTCACACAAACACCCAGAAATCGATTTTTTTTGTTCGAATTTTAAAGATACTCACCTGATGTGGTGGATGTCTATTGGTGCCTGGCGGTTTGTTGATCAGCATCGAATGCACCACCACTACATCCTGGCCGATCAGTTGGGACACCACGTCCAAAAGCCCCTGGTCTTCCGAGTAAGTGCTGAACACGTTGTCGAAGTGTATATCTTGGATCTGGGCATGCAGTAAAAAAGTAAAGTAGCAGCCTATACAGGGAGGCTTTTCTAAGCGTATCCATTTTTTTATAAATTCTAGACATAAATAATGTTATATAAAAAATGATAAATATTTAAAATCACTTGTAATTAATTAAATACATTCATTTGAAGTTATCTCAAAAAGTGCGTAACTTATGGGCAACTCATTTATTTTACGCGCGATCATTCATAACTAACACGCACACAAGTTCATTCCAAAAGTATACGACTCATTTATGAATGACTACCGCATTGTCAACAAGTTCTGTTTTTTGGGGGATAGAATTGCAATTTTTTTGGAAAAGAAAAGTTTGTTTTTATTTCAATTAACGATTATACTACCGAGTCTGAACCTCCTTTGCGAATTTGGGCACCTTTAGAAAAGCCACCCTGTATATGTCCCACTGCTGGGCACAGACCTCTTCTGTTAAGAGGATACCGAGCATAGTCCACCACGCGGCCCCACCGCGGATTGGTGGGCTTCACATATCTTCGAAATATTTTTTCTTGTTATTATTTCGAAAATATGTAAACTAATGATGTTTTCCTTCACCGCTGAGCGTGTGATAAGTCAGTACTTAAAACACCTCACTGGATATGCATTGTTCCTTCCTAATCGAACTAGTCCGTAACCTGAACGGATCAGTCGATCCTACGAGGAACGAAATATAACTAGATCACTATGTTACATCTCAGCCAACTGTTGCTTGGCGCTACCCATAAAAGCAATACCTCTTAGGTCGACATGTATTAGGCAATACGTGGTTACAAAATAACCAACACAATACTCAATTAAGTACGAGTAGCTAAAATGCCTATCTTACATCCCTTCACCCAACTGCTGAATATTTTTCGGATGCATGGAAAACATAGGTTGTCTAATTCCTTGGGGCGTTCTACAGACGAAACTTTTTGTGATTGCTTTCAACATATGAGGTGTAATTTGATTGGTCTCAATGTGGTAGTGACGTAGGGTAGTTATATTAATTTAATTTGATGTTAGCGAAAAAAAAAATAGAATTATGAAACCTCTTTGTTTACTAAATTTGAGCTTGTAAAACAGCATATTGTAATTAGATCGAAAGGTTTTTAACCGGCTTTTGTATTGAGCCTCTCCCGAATTTTCAATATTCACTTATAATCACTAAGCTTTGTGGTAAAAAGGTAAAAGTCGAAAGTATAGCAACACCTTATTTATAGAGTCCTCGGCGGAAGCACCTTTCGCGATCAGAGTCGGATCCTTTACTATGATGATATTCCCCGCATCCTCAATTCCCTTTGCGATGTGGACGAAACGTTTCCTAAAATCATGCCTCGAATTTCAGAGACATCCATTGATAGATCCTTACTCACCCGCAGGTGTGATAGACAGTCACTGGCCGGTTATTGGGCAAAAACAGATCGTAGAACGCTTAATATGTTGGGAATCTCGTGAATAATTTTTTACAAGTACGTAAAACATACTCTGCATATCATTCGTTAATCGCTTACTGCAGGATTACGAGTACGATGCGTTTACTACCGACCAATAGACAACCGGGGACCGGATTATGGTTGCGATTTGAGACCTTTAAGCGGTTGATCACCGGTAGCCCTCTAGCCCAAAGAAATGCATTAATTACACTGCTTAGAATAAATACTAAGAGGCAGTTGTTGTCGGTTAGCTGGTCTATTCAGGTAACAAGAGTAACTAAATAGTTTAGATTCCTCTTTATGGAAGGGCGGAATTTACCTACGTCTTAAAATCAATAAAATTATTTAAACTTTCGTGAGACGAACGAAACGTTATCAACGAAATAATAAGACAGCTGAACTCACGTTTAACCGATTTGTGTAACGCCTAGTTAGCAGTAACGATAGTTAGTCTTAATTAGCAGTCTTATTATTTCTACAAATTATTATAAAACGCTTAATATGGCGTAAATCAGAGATTACAATTGCAATAGGCATGATGACAGTAACTAAGATTCACCAAAATAATGTGTTAATCTAATTTGTGATATCTCATAATTTCGTAAAAAAGTATTTATCTTCATTTTTTATTTAGGATTGATTATTTATTTAATAAAATAAAACTAAAAAATTAAGCAATCAGCCATGTCAAGTTGAACACCAATCAGAGCGAATTACGTCAAGATTATGTAAGCTTCTAGACGTCATAATATTTTGTTAGCAATTTGCGCCTGTTTCTGTTTGTTTGTCTGAGTTTATCGAGCAGATAAATTATCAATGAATGCGTTGCCATTTATCTTATCCAGTAGAATCAAATATGAATTGAAATGAAATCTTTGAATATGAGCAAAGGCAGTAAGCAAAACTAAGGTAGCTGCCAGTACATATATTTAGCACTTTTCAGCTAAGTCTCTGTACAGAGGGTAAAGTAAGGCATTAAACTCCTCATTCGTTATATTTTACTTACTTCAGATTGTACAACGAAGCGAAGTCGATCAGATCTTTGATCACCAGGAACCCGTTCTCGTTGTAGAAATCGAGCTGACCTTTCGACAGCACGCTTGCGCTTTGCGATCCGACGCTTGCGCTGCAATTAGACCGCAAGTTTAATGCCGCTATGACGTATAGCTGGCCGTGGGTTCTAATCCCGCTACGACGCAAGTGATAACTATTTCTGTGGCTCAATAATAATTATCCCGATGAGATACAATGTTAGAAAACAAACAGTATTACCCAGAAAGAGGGGTAATTTTAGGAAAAAAAAGACAGATATGACAATGATGAGACAATGAGATATTTGAAGTTTAAAAATACTTTAGTCGCCAGAAATAGTAACTCCTCATGTGCGTTATTAAAAAGTTGACGACAAAGGATGTGATTTATTTTTGAAAAATGATATATCTGTTAAAAAAAGGTAACAAGACATCGAGCATCCAAACTTCTTAATGATCAGATTTGATCATTCTGTTCATTAAGAACATTCTGGTCAATTCAGCACAATTATTGCACCCGCCGGATAAAGCCGGGGCAGGTCGCTAGTTTACTAAAAAATAAAAGAATGGCAGTTTTTTTTGCAGTTAAAAGAGATAAAAATCTTAAATCTGTTCTTTAAAAGACAAATCTCTAATTACAACCCCCACATTCAGTTAGCAGGCTAGCAGTTAACAGGTCGTCACATTTCTATCAATTTTTAAAACAATGAAGAACCTGGAAATAACACATTTTTTTTAAAAAAAATCTTGCCTTAGATGCCATAGATGATATCCAAACAATGCACAATTCACTAAGGGGTGCTATCCGACACTGCAAAAAGTTTCCTTAGTGAGTAAAATAAAACTTTACAAGAGATTTGTATGTAATTATATAAATTATGATAATGTTTATAAATTTCAAAACCCAACATTATTGTTAATATATATTATATACTGGAAAGTGTTAGTATATATTTTTTGTCATAAAGAACAAAGTTCAGCTGATGTGTATCTAGTAAACTTTGTTTTAATTAGCATTGACCTTGTCAGTGATTAGACTTTGTTAAGAACTACTTTAAGCTAAAAAAAACAAGTTTAATGTAATCATTTGAGACCATTATTTAACTGTTATAAGAGTAGAAATATGGAATTATACAGCTATGATCAATATGGCTACAGATTTTTTTTGTTGTATAAACTAAAAGATTTGGGTATAGATGTTCATAATGATACCTTACAGGCATGCTTTAAGTATTTTTAAACATAATTTTTTGTTGTTAGAACAGATATTTACGAATCTATTTAAAATTTTGAATATAATCATATCCTGTAAAAAATAATAATTTGTCTTGGGTAAAGGTGAGTATCATGTCATGACATTCCATGTTTATTTTTGTCTATGCCACCGCACCATTGGAATGATGTGGTTATGCTATTTTTTACATAAGTTACAAAGCTAATCATCATCATCATCATTTCAGCCTGTTTGAGTCCACTGCTGAACATAGGCCTCCCCCACAGACTGCCATGAAGTACGATCCTGAGCCACCTGCATCCATCGACTTCCCGCACATTTGCACAGGTCGTCACTCCATCTAGTGGGGGGTCGTCCCACACTGCAATGGCCAGTACGAGGCTGCCACTCGAGAACCTTTCTTCCCCAACGGTTATCGGTAACAAAGCTAATACAATGCCAAATTTACATAACATATGAATGTGAATTTGAAAAGGTTTTGTGCACATTACCATTATTTTTTAATAAAATAAAGCATTATATTTCAGCATGTAGCACTGTCTGAAAACCCTAAGGGTATCTATTAAACTTAAATATAAAAGTTATGTTTAAGGTAACAGTATATCTGATTCCATATAGACATTTATTAGAAATAATTATATAGGGGATACCAGGAGAGTGGTAGCTTTAACCATGGACAAAGAAGGTCCTTATCAGCGAGGGATGACTAATTCATTGTCAGTGTTTTCGCTCATAAATCGGGCTCTCTGGCATTCAAGTCTCCTAATAGGAGCTCAGAGGGACGGGCAATAATTATGCATCTGCATTTGGTTATTTGCTAATGAAATTATATCATTTATATTGATCAACAATACAACCAAATGAGGTTTCAAGAGTTCACAAATAGTTTTATATTGTTGTACAGAACTTTTTTGGATGATAACCTTGCCCCTTTGCTAAGCTTGACTTTGTGGACTTGCTCTACTCAGGACCTCCAACGGTTCTGGCTCCGCTTTATGTTCACTCTAGGGGTAGGGACGACAAGACCAGAGTTTGAGTGGTGTTAGATCTTTGTGATTTTTCTTTATACTTAGTTGAATTTTCTTTTGTTTGCTTTATCGAAGTAGTAGTGGCCTGCTAAAATTTTAGCCTTATATACATAGTATTATGTTATCATATCATAGCATAAAGTTTAATGATGTAGAATTTACTGTAAGATAGAATCATAGGCATTTATATTTAATTAGTATGAAGTGTTAGTTCATCGTACAATAAGTTAATATAACTATATGGAATGATCTGGCTTGTTTTTTATATTTTATTTAAACTCCTGTGAATTATAACAGTGAAAAAGAGATCAAACTTACACCTTAGGTATCACTGGTAGCATTTTTCCACTATTAAGAGATTCCATTACACTTAAGCTAGGAGAAGCAGTGGCAAAAACAAATATTTTTACACACTAAAATAGAGGCACCAACTGTTGCTTTGTTACTGTTTATTTTCGGACTAGCATACACGTTTAAAGTAAACTAAAGTTATTTATGGACCACAAAGTGCAAGTATAAAGTACAAAATAAGTTTATAATTACGGGCATGCGTCGAACGGTACAACAACGGAAAACAATAAACAAATAGAATATAACCACAACGTTTACGTGACGTGATAATAAAGATAAACTAATTATAATTTATTTATATTTTGAACTTTGAACTAGGCATGGCCAAAACATCGATATATAAAAATATCGATATTTTTCCATATAAATATCGATATACATCGTCGATATTTTTATTCCGTATGTATCATATTTTATATGATATTTTTCCGATATTTATTTTCGACTATCGAATCCGTGTCAATTTCGATATATTTTTAACGCAACTATGGTTTGGTGTTTATTGTTACTAAATTTTAATGCGTGCACGTCTGCACGATAATACTTTTTTTTAATAAAGATTATATGGCCCGGTAACAAGACCTTTAAGCCAATACTATGAAGATACTAATTACTAATACTATTATACCATCAGTGTAAGACGTATATGACCCTGAAGTTAACAAACAATTAACAATTGTTTGGATCTTTTTTCAACTTTTTCAATTTTTTATATATTTTCTTTTATAATTTATCGTTGGAAGAAGTTTCAAATATTATTAGACGTTGGTTAACTTCAGTATCATGAGAAGTCTTGTATTATTGTGTTAACTGATGTTTTTGCTTTCAGTCTCGAGACTATTAAAGCTTCATCTGACGCAGAACCGGTGGGCTAGCCAGAACCCACGGGTTTGGGCCCTCCGCTGTGGTTAGGGCCACGCATGTGCTCATGCGTGTGTTTAACTATGGTGTGTCATCTAAGGGCCCTCAAGGTTTGGACCGAAACCCCGATGGCCGTTGACTGTGCAATTAGCTAATCGGTGGCTGGAAGCGGTGAGAACCGCCCCGGAACGCGGGTGTACCTTGTGTACGCGTTGTGTTGGTCTCACCGTGCTCGGGGTCGAGGGCGAACTAGTGTGTTTGTTGTTGCACTAACTGTGAGTGTAGTGTTATCCGGCTCATGAAAAGTTGAGCAACTAGTTAAATTCTTCAACTATTTAGCTTAGTAGATACTTATGTCAGTTTGCATGATTTTATTTAACGCTGCGACGTTCAATGAGTCCAAATCGTGTGACTGATTAATATTTTACAATTTTATGCAATTAATAATTAATAAATTTACAAAAAAAAAAAACACCTTAGAAAAAGAAGTGAAATTCAAAAGTCGCCCTGAAGTATCTAATTTGCCAGGCTTCTATGGTCTCTTCAGAAAGAGTTGCTTCAGCTGTGAATCTGACAGTACCCAACAATAGAAGCTGACAATAGATTGACAGGGTAGTACATTAAACAGGTTGCTCCTAATGTCCACATCAAATGATTATTGGTTGGAATAAATTGTATTTGATTGAGTACTTAGATTATTAATAAATATTACTTTTTATCAGAATGATCTTCTTAATGATCAGAATGATCAATTCAAACAGTTTAACCACCCTTTTGGCAACTAATTTGAATTTTGAAAAGCCATTTGACAGCTGATTAGTTAACATCTACGATGATCAGTGTTTCAGAAGCGGAAAATAACATTATATATATCGCGTGGTTGGGTGACGCCGAGGTTCAGGCTAGGCGCCCCGTGCGCCAGGCCACCACAAGCCCGTCGGAACTGTAAAGGCCCCTAAGGCCAACAGTGGCTCATCCAGCCCAAAAAAAAATGGTTGGGTGACGTTTGGCAGCGCCGGCCTGGCGCTAGAAGTTTAGTAGCCAGTACATACACACAGGAATGAACATTTGCATGGCTACGCTAATGTACATCTCTGTGTTCTATGTTGTTTTTTCTGCGATTCGACGTACTCTCATGCAAAAGGATTTTGGTAAAACTTTAAATTGTGGTGATGAAACAAAATTCAAAATACGCAATATGTTGTAGTGATTTTATTTTTCTTCATCAAAGGCTTTCAGATCTTTATTAAAAAGAAAAGAAGGGTTAAATTAAAAGTGTGCGAATATTAAAATTTTCATGCGGTTCGTGCAGGTTGTATGTAAATTTTAATTTACATACGTATGCTGTCTCGTTGGATGCGTGAAATATTTGGGATATTGTAAAACTTCTTGTATTTATTTTTAGAACAAATTCGGTTTGGAATAAGCCCCAGCGAAGACTGGAGTTACGGTGTTTTTGTCCACAATCATGAAGAAGAACGGCTTATTCGCCGCGACCGTGTACGGCAAGCTTTTGAATGTGAACTCGGCGGTTGTGGCCCCACTCGCCGTTGTTCCCTCCTCCGTTACCTCTATGTCGGCCTTTTGCATGATATTAGAAATGTACAACTCGTTGTCGGATATACCCGGGAACTGGGCCCGACTTTCGAATACTGACTTGAGTCCCATGTCGACTAGGAGCTCTTTCAAGTTGCTGAGGTCGGACGTAATTTTGAACCTAGGCAGCTGCAATGATATTTCCTGGGGTTCCCCTTCCTTGAATAAGGCGAATATCGACTTGAGGCTGATCTCCTTTAGGGAATATATGACGTTGCTCAGCTTCATACCCTCGTAGGGCAAGAACAGCAGCATGGAGAATCTCTGGTCGCTGTACGGTATCTCGAGTATGGTCGAGTTTATCAGGTCCATAGATTTGAAGTTGAACTGGCTGGTGATGAACATGAGGTTGACGGAACCTATTTTGTTGTTCATCTCGTCATAGAACGAGCTCTCCTCTGTCTCCTCGACGGGGAAGGGTATCTGCCAGTTGCCTTTGAAGCGTAGCACGTCCACGATTGTCATGACCGCGTTCTCGAGGTCGCTCGCTTGCACCACGTCGTCTATAGCGCCGTTGGTGGCGGTCCTGACGTAGTTGTTCACGGTGGCCGCCACATACTCGTAGTTGTCCATGGGCAGGCGTTTGACGTCCGTGATGCCGGCGTTTTTGACCTGCCGCTCAAACGACTCGTTCAACGGGTACCTCTCGTCGACGACGATGGTCGACGCGCCCTCCAACGTGGTCTGACCGGCCGGCGCATAGATACCCCTGACTATCTCGAAGAACCTCATGCTGTAGCATTTGTGCGGGAGCAGCCTCAGCACGCTGTTCAGCTCGTGCAGGGTGGCGTCGGCGGCGCCGAGCGAAGTGTGCGCCAGCAAAGTCCACGGCGAGAGGGGCGACGCGACGAAGTGGTAGTCCGTGTCCAGGGCGAGCCTGGTGAGCAGGTCGACAGAGAATTCGTACACGGACCTCGAGAAGTACGGCTGCGCCTTCTCGACCGTGCACTGGGCCGACGCCGTCGCCAGCAGTGCGCACAACGCCACCGCAACCCTCGCCATTTCGTGCGAGTGCGTCGGAATGGTTAGAACAACTGGCGTCGGAGTGGCGGGGCCGCGTGGCGAGCGCGTTATCGACTGACCCGCCTTGCAGATAAACGCAGGGGTTACGGTTTCGTGAGTTATTTGGGGATTTCTAAGTGCCTGCCACGGGCGAATGTGTATGATTCTTTTTATCGGAGCGTACACGATTTTGCAAACATCCGGTTCGCTTAAGTTATTGTCGCAGAAGATCACCGTTGGACGCTAGCGACTACCAATGAAGTTACCAAGGGAGTGTTGCCGGCCTTTATACTACTATGAGGTTCATCGGATAGGCTCTCTTATTGAAGGTCATATTGGTATGGATATACCGCCGACGACTGACCCCAAAATGCAGTGATGGGTGGTGAGATTCATCTCACCTTTCCTTTGGATTGGAGGATTTAAAGGTAATTCTCCTACCGGTGGTAGTGGTAACTTACAAACTTACCTATGTATCGTTTATGCAAACATCGACGTTTTATAAGAACGCGCAAGCGTCTATTTGAATAAAGATATTTTGAATTTGAATTGACGTGGAAATATAGGCACGAACAAGTAAAGCTTCTTCTTACGAACTGAAATTGAACGTTGTGGATCCAAGTTCCGATAACTTATAAGCTAGATGTTAAGTAGGCAGGCTGGATTATTAACTGATAGGAATAAACATTAAATTTGCCCGAGTGTTCTCATTTTCAAAAACCGAAACTGAGGCACCGAATTTGAATAAATTATTGTATTTAAATTGTAATTCTGTAGACTGTTATCTCTTCTTCTTCTTCTTCTTCTTCTAAGGCAGTTGGCGGGACTGTTATCTCTTTCCGTATAAGACGTCTTATATCATCTGTCACATTCACTTATATATGTGATGTAGTGTAAAGCGGAACAATGAGTATGTACGTAAAATAAACATTACAAGGAAAATCCTATTTTACAATAACACAAAATAACTTTCCGCCTCTTATCGAAACTGAATATTATATGGTCGGGTTTGCGATCCCAAGGGTTTTTTTTAATTTTTATGACATCAGATGGCATGCAAGCTGGCGGTTCACCTAGTGTTAAATGGTAAACATCGCCTAGCGTTGCGGATGCGTTGCTAACTTGTAATAAAGTAGGCCCCGGCTATCTCACTCACGAGACGAAACGCAATACTTCTACTTTACGCCGGTGACCATGAACGCTGGAAAGGGTTCGAAACGTCGGGAGTTCAAATCAAAATAAAAAACGCGATAAAATCCGGTAAACTAGTTTCATTTAATATGCATAATATTCGCGTAAAATCAAGAAGACAATACTTAACCATACTTTTCTTTTGTAAATAAATACATATTATAAATATACAAACACCCAGACACGGGAAAAACACTATGTTCATCACACAAAATTTTTCCAGTAGTGGGGATCGAACCCACACCCTCTGGCTCAAGAAGCAGGGTCACTAACCAACGCCATTCAAGTATATTTTTAATACATCACGTCAGGTTGCTTTATACTTGCACTCAACGCTGGTTTTTGTGAGGCGGTGGTACTTTCCCGGACGAGTCTGCTTAAATGTGCAACAACGCAAGCTACTATCTGGTACCACAGTGGCTATTTGTCAGTGCCTTCCCTAATCCAGATAACCGCTCCTTTGCAAATCAAGCCTCCTATGATCTACAATTTAGATGAAATAAAACAAGATGTCACTCTTAAGACAAGCAAGTACCCATTGATAGGAACATGAAGCATTCCAGAGATTGTGATGGCGGTCTCGAGCAATATATTTCATAAGAGTCAATCAACAATGATGGTATTAAAATCAATAAACAATGAAGACATTCAGCCTTCCAGAAACAATAAAGACCATATATAGCACACCTACCGTTTTACACCCTACTATAAATACGGCGATCTGGCAACCAGCGGACGTTACCATCACCGTCAGTACCTTGTTGTACTTTTAAGAACTATATTGTAAATAGTTCAATTATATATTTATTTTGAAAATGAAACCAAATTTAGATATTTAGATTAACGCTTCACGTGGTACCTAGCAGGCAAAACTTGCCGCATTTATTCAAAATACGATTATAATAGATCTACTGAATTTAATGGCGATTCAAAATTCGATTATAGATCCAGTTAACTTTCTGGCAAAGTTTCGCGGAATCTTTATAGACTTGTTAGCTAAGTGTACATAAATAGATTGAATTATTTAGAGGAAGAAGTAAAGAAAAAGATTAAGAGGACTTGCTGAAAACTCCGGACATCGGGCATCCTGTGTGAGTACCGAGTATTATAAATCCTTAAAAATTTTCTTCCCCTTAAAACCACTGATTTTATATATAAAGATATAAGTTACTGATTGATGTAATTTAAATCTTCTATTATCGATGTTCACAAGTCGGACTAATAGTTGAGTCAAAGACCCAAAAAAAAAATGAAAACAATTATTTTCAACAAACAAAAACCAACTTCAAACAGGAAGCTAATAAAACATTGTCAACGCCTATAACATTTGAGGATTGCCCTCGATTTCTCTGGGATGCCATCATCAGATCTGGATTTCCTTATCATGGTACCACTTCCCGTGGACATGCCCATTCGTGCAACAGTAAAATATAATATTTCATGTCAGTGAACAATCTATAAGTACAGTGTCATTACGAAGGAAATACTTACTTAAAACATATACCACAAAAACAATCAACTGTTATGGAATTGTTTCGTTCACAAAGAGAATCACATCGCAAATAAGCAATGAGATAGAATAATATAGAGATAAAGCAAAACGCTTAGTTGGAATGCGTGGAATGTCAACAACAATAATGAAACCGTTGCGAGCGTCTAGTTGTCCTAAGTTGGAAAGAAGGGATTAATTAACTCGTGTAATTCCGATGCACACTCTCAATAATGCAATATTTAGGAAACCGAGAGGCTGGCTACCCTACGCTTGCACTCGAACATATTTACCTGGTACAATCCTATGTATATAATTTTTTATGTAAAACTTTACGATTCATAAGAACCCGCAAGCTTCTATTTGAATAAATATATATTTGATTTGATTTGATTTAGATTGGTTCCAACCAAATCAAAGTCATCAATGAGCCTTTTCACACGCTAGTGCATTGAGTCCAAAGCATCAAGTTGTAATTTAAGAGCACCCTAAAATATGACAATAGTGATCCACACAAGACCAGATTTGTGCGTTATGTAAGGTAGGTATGTAGAGATTTTAAGATACCGTTTTTAATAAAATAAAATCGATGTGCCAATTGTCTATCGGTTCATAAAGGGTTTTAGACTCTAACGATAAGGTGGAATAAGGATAACCATTATATGTTTCTTTCCAATATAGACCCCAATTAAAAATACATAATATTTCTTTTGGATTCTCATATCTTCTCAATAGTATTTATCGAACAATTGTTTATACCATGCATGTCTACTATCAAAAACAAAAAAAAAATTTGCAATGCACTTGACATGTAAAGTCCGCCAATTCACAGTATGGTCGCGTGGTGGACTATGCCTTAATACCTGCTATATAAATTAGGCCTTTGCACAGCAGTTGAACATATAGGCTATTACTTTGCTTTATTTTTGTGAAAAGTTGACAAGCGAGCAGGCGGTTCACCTGAAGTTAAGTGACCCAAGGCTATACGGTCAGACGGGTTGCCCGTACGTTGCTTACCGTTAAAAAGTGGGCCCCGGTTAACTTACTCACCAGACGATGCGCGAATTATATTTAATAATTGCACTTCATGCCGGTCTTCTGTGGCACATCTCCGGACGAGCTTGCCCATTCGTGCACCACGCGGCACACCCACACAACCGAAATAGTTTTTAAATATATATATATTGTTTTACATATGTACAGACATATATAATATACATATAAGCCCGATTTATAGTTACAAGTAGTCACTCCTTTCGAGGTTTAAGCGGTTAAAGACTGAGCACGTCTCCTCGTAGAGCATTCCATAATTGTACACCTTGAACCATTAAAGAATTAGCTATAAATTTAGATCTGATTTTAAACGATAACCTGCGCCCATTGACATTTGAAATATCTGTAAGGTTGCAAATGCGGTGCCACCTTACAATAAAGTGGGCCCGGCTACCTCACTTACCAGAAGAAACGCAGAAGTAACACACTAACTCTTCCACTTTACGCCGGTCTTCCGTTAGGCCGTAGTACTTACGTGCAATCGTAAAGTCTGCTGCGTGGCCCTACAGTTCACGGTAGGTTATCACGGTATAGTATATTTACATTATTTTTAATTTAAAAATTTCCGATGATCTCACAAGTTGCGGCCGGGTATGTAGCAATGCGAATCGTTTCTTTATACGAAGATTAAAAGAAACGAAGGATTAAGCAGACCGCTGGTAAGACGGGAAAGTGTATGAGCGTTTCCGCAAAGTCGAATGTGAAACCACTTGAGCTTGGAACGGAAATGCTGGACATGATCATATTTGCGCAAGCTAAATATGAATCTTATATATATGACATTTTGGATATGTTCAAGTTTATCAAGCTGCGCCTCGGTTAGATCCAGATAGCTGACGTAGCAGACAGCCGCGAAGTCAAGTTGATAAAAATTTCCTCAAGGAAGGAGGAGAGACAAATACTTTACGGCTTTCCCCTTGCGGCTGAAGTCTCCAAGATAAGTTTTATCAAGTTGGATTCCCAGGTTCTTAATGATTGGATTAATAAGAAAAAAAAAAATCCGTCAAACTTAACTTTGGGTATTGGTCTTACTTTTGTGGTACTTATAATATCCCAGTATGATTAATTTACTCTTCTCTTTCCATTTCTCTTCTTCTTAGAGTCAATATTTGAGTATATTTGATCTATTGTTATACAAATAGTTACTTTGATAAATTATTTGTTAAACAAGAGGTTTCTATTAATTATATATATATGTAACAACGCTATTTGATGTTATTACGGTGTTAGGGCTACGCAGCAGCCTCGGCTGTTGCACGAATGGGCAGGCCCGTCCGGGTAAGTACCACGACCTCACAGAAGACCAGCGTAAAGAGGAAGTATGACAAATACTTTCGCGTCTCGTCTGGTGAGTGAGGTGGCCCGAGCCCAATTTTCAAAAGGTTGTCAACGCATCTGTGACCCTCGGGTGTGGCAGATGTCCATGGGCGGCGGTATTCACTTAACATCAGGTGAACCGTCTGCTCGTTTGAAAAAAAAAAAAATAATCATATTTGATATTTATTATTTCTGTTAACAAAGTATTGAATTTGCGATTATGCTAGCATTGGTAGCTTACGAACCTATATGCATAATTTTTGATATTAAATTTGACGATTCATAAGAGCGCGCAAGCGTCTATTGAATATATATTTTTTATTTCATTTGATTTGATTGCTACTTTAGTTTGCATTTATTTATTAAATATTATTTAATTTCAGTCTGTCATACTTTGTTACAATGTCTTCCACCTTACTCAATAATAACGCTCTTTTTTTAGGAGCATTAAGTCTTGCGTTTTTAAGTAATTTATTTAAGCAATTTACATATATATATAAAAATATAGTTAGTGCGCATGCCTTTTAGACGAACTGACTCTAATCAAAGTTTTTGAAACCATAACTCGTCTATCTGGTATCGTTAAATTGTGAAGACCTCTTGAGAATCAGGGACTCTGCAATCGACAGACAAATTGTTAGACTCTAGAATTATATTATTTTGGCTTTTTTTACTTATTATTTTGTTGGTTCCTAGCTTATTTCGAAATTTAATTAAAACTGTGTAGCTCACCGTATTTATACCAAAGTTTACGACTTATACCACGTATGGGCGTCACGTCTTCATTATTAAATCATCATCATGTTATTGTAAATTATTATAAAATGCCATATGTCTTCATTGTACCATCTAATAATTGTCCAAGGTATCGCTTTTTCCTTTGATTATGACAAGTCATATTCAATCATGACAAGAGATAAGTCATATAAATCAAAGGCTATTTCATATGATGGTCCAAGTTTTAAAAATCAACACCTTTAAGTATTTTGGTACGTGGTAGATCATGTTTCGCTTGACTTAACAAACATAAGTCACTCGGTTACGATCAGGTGTCGGCTTAATAGCCTCAATCGATGCACGAACAGGCTGGTTCGTTTTCGTCTCACAGAAGGTCCGCTTGGAGTTATTATACTTTTACGTTTCTTCTGATGCATTTGCAACTTATAGGGTGATGTTGAAAAGCGTCATTGATTCCTTATTTTTTCCTTACTCACGGTGAAAAACATTTAGTACTAAGTACTGACTCCGTGGCGCAGTTGTCAAGGTATTGGCTTCGGCGTCGGGGGTCGTGGGTTCGATCCCCACACGGGACAGCTATTTGTGTGACCCACAGATATTTGTTTCGCATCTGCGCCTTGGGTTTGTCCAAATGAAAATAATGTTTGTTAAACGTTCTTACAACACAGGATAATGTTATCCTAAATTAAGGGCAATGTTTTTTTTTTTCAAAAAAAGCAAGTACTAAACTACTATAACAAGTAGTAGTTCCCGGTTACCTTCAAAAATGCTTTTTCCGTCCATCGAGCTGAAAAGAACTGGTGTTACTTCTTAGAAAGGAAACTTAATAATATCATTTTGTTATTAAAAAAACATGCAAAAAGAATAAAAAGTCTAACTGGCTGTAAGCGAATACGGTCTCCGATATCATATATAATAAAAAAAAAAATATTTTACATAAATAAACACCCAGGCACTAGAAAACACGATGATCATCACACAATATTTTTCCAGTAGTGGGGATCGAACCCATACCCTCTAGGGGCCCGTGAAAGTTAAATGAAACTAGTTCATGTTCCCCTCCCCAACATGGATTAAATAAACGAAGAGCACAAAGCATTATCGTCAAAATATTATTGAGTTGGAAGACTATATATAAGTTTGCAGAAAAAACGTTGCAGTTCTAGAAACGACAATTGATAAAGCGCTGAGAGGACACAACTACATTGACCTCGTTTATCACGGGCGATACTAAAAGTTTATTGTTTACAACATTTTAGCTTGTCCTATTTAGTTCATTATACAGAGCATTCATTCAGGGGACGTTGCGTTCAGTGTTCGTTTAATTGCAGATCTGTGCGAGTCGAGTTGAGATGATCAGGTCGTTGCTCTATTTCAATCTGTGCTTCGTTGTGCTCGGCCACAGTTACCCCTGCAGCAACGAGTCCGCTCTAAATGTGCACAAGAGGCCGATCTACGAGTTCTCGCTGCGGATCCTGGACAGGGTTTCCCAACAGACCGGCGGCCACTTCGTGTTCTCGCCGACGTCTTCGTGGATGCAGCTGACGACGTTGGCGGAGGGCGCTCGTGGCGGCACCTGGGCGGAGATATGGAAGGTCACCGGCCAACAGAGGAAGCGGTGCTTCCGTCAGAAAATGCGCTCCATTTTCAACCTCATGAGCGACGAGCTGAAACTGCTCAGTAGACGCTGCAGCGTCCTCGCCGTGGACAGGCTCTATAACGTGAAAGACCCGTTCAGGCAGGAGGCGGAGAGACTCGACGGAGTGCGAGTTCTGTCTTTGGATTTCGGCCATCCGGAGAGTGCGGCCGCCGAGACGAACGACGTGATAGACTCCTACATGGACGGCGCGATCACCGAGGCCGTGTATCCGGACGATTTTAAGCTGGCAGTGATGCTGTTGACGGACACAACGTACTTCAGGAGCGACTGGAAGTATCCCTTCAATAGGGCTTACACGACGCCCCAGCCTTTCTACTCGGAGCAAGGTATAAAGGTGGGCGAGGTGAACATGATGAGCCAGGTCGCGTACTTTCACTTGGCGGAGGTGCCTTTGCTGAATGCAAAAGTGCTAGAGATCCCTTGCAGCGCGGACGAAAGGGTGTCCATGCTGGTGTTCGTACCCACGTATGGGTTAGTGTCCGATATATTCTACTCTTTGACCGCCGTGAGGCTGGCGACGGTGTTCAACATGTACAAACAGCTCGGTCTGCGTTTGGTGAACGTGAAGCTGCCCAGGTTCAAGATTATAACGGAGATGGACACCCTACCCGAGCTGGTGTACGACATGGGGGCGAAGGGGATATTCTACCCGCACCTGGCGGACCTGAGCGGGATAAGCGACTACGGTGTCCACGCGTCCCTCATGTCGCAAATCGCGGACATCGAAGTGATAGAGGAGGGTGTCACCGCGCGATCTTTCGCCGAATTCCTGGTTTCCGATAACGAAACCGTCGATTTCACCGCCGACCGGCCCTTCGCCTTCATGATAGTCGATAGAAAGACCGAGTTGATATTGTTCGCTGGCAGTTATAATGCACCCGCTCTATACTAAATGTAGGTGCAATAAAGGGGCTGAAGAGATTTCTATCGAATTAATGGGTTTGCACCAACTGCTTTCTCACCAGTTACATTCGAGTGGTATTTTAGACTAGTCAGTTCGTGATAAATAAAAAACCTTTTTATTCAAAATCATTAGTTTTTATTTTAAAATATAATAATATCTCGCATTATGACTAGTATCACATTAACAGCCTCTCAGAATTACAATAAAGCATAATAAAATCTAGTTTTTATTGCATTATTTAAATTAAATAGAGCATTCGGTTTTTTGTAGACACATACTAAAATTATGTCGTTTGTAGAAATATTAAATTTGTACATATTTCTTACAGTATAGTGTTCTCAAAACAGAACTCACTATAAATAAGCTACTTTACAAAGTGATCTATTATTAAATCTTTGACTAATTTTATATTTAATTTGTAAGAAAAATATGAAACAATATTGCTTTAATAACATGTACCAAATAAAAACTATATTTAAAAAAATCCTTCAAATAGGTTCCCTTTAATTAAAATACCATATAAGAAACATTACCTAAAATATATAATACAATATAGCTACTTATATAGATAACAAATATTTAGCATAAAATTAATACGAACTTATTGGTAATAACATTTTCACTACATAATTATAATAGTCTTTTCTTATACATTATGGTATGACGACATTACGACGCTTTCTTTGAAATTTTTTTTTGTATTTTTTTTATATAAAATACTTTTGAAATCTGTCTTCCTACTGAGCTGGAACGAGCACAGTGTACATACATACGTTTAAAATGTGTTGAAAATGCATTTCTCGTCACTTTGTAGGCCGACAATTAATATTTCGGTCATAAGAAACATTCACATTTGGCTCAATAAAATTATTAACAAAAAACTGTACAAGCTGTTGATTCATTTCTGGAAGTTTTGCACGATTGTAAGCTATTTGCTAGATACACATAAATACTTTTTTTTACAAATAACTTTTATAAAAAATGATGTCAAGCAAAGGTGATCAAAGTTTTCTTGGGTTTGAAAGTATAATTGACAAAGTAGCTTTGATAAAAGTTCTTTTTTTAATATAGGATGTTAAGAAAGCCCACTTGAGCAATCTAGAAACATCAGATGCGTCAGATTTGTCAATTAGCACCTGCAAGGTTTAAGAAGCAGGATTGAAGATTGAATTAAAATTTTAGTTTAACTTATATTCACAATGAAAAAGAAGCATCTTTTGAAAGAAGTATGAAATAATCGTATGAAAAGTGAATATAAAAGACGAATGGACATTTTTGGGTCTTATAAAACTGATTGAGAAGTTTTTAATGGTTTAAGAAATAAGAAATATGAGAAAGAACATTTTTCGGTATTGTAAGCTCATTTAGTCTTTTCTGGTAAAAGATATATAGCATCTATATCTGAATAAAATAAGAATCTTGAAGGATGTCTTGTTTGTATAACTTTTTTTGGATATGTTTAATAATTAACTTAAGGTAAATTAACTTTAATTTAATATCCCGTACGTAAGGTTGTATAACATTAGCTTTTAAAATAAACGAAACAGGCTAAAATATCAACTACTGTTTTTTTTAAAAGAATCTTAAGAAATACACAGAAGACAGTTCTGCCGCTATAAGAAAAAAAAACCACTATATTCTACGTTTCTTCTGTCTTTTCCATTCTTAAAATGTAGGACTAATTCTAAATTGCTGTATACGATAAATTCGATTTGATAATACCTAATTGCCTTGAGGATTTTATATCGAGTTGTTTTTTTTTTTGAAGTCAATATAAGTTATAATTATCAATCACTCTATTTGGTACTTTCTTTATTATTTCTGCTTTTAAAACCACGCATATTGTTTGCAATAAAAAATATTGCTGATTCAAATAAATATTTAGAGAAAAGATTTACACTGTGATTTCACAGTGATTTCTTTGTGAATAATTAAATGCTGATTTCTATTACAAGATCCACAATCGAAGAAAATCAAAATTTTACTATAGTTTCACCTATCTGATAACATTATGTCATAATGAATTCACTGATCTCATCATTTTTGTGCACCTGATCCATGCACCAATAAACACAAAGATAACTCAACAAAATATAATGTGTGTATAATACAAAATATGTTCTAGGAAATATAACAGCCAACTCCGTTCATTGCTATCACAAAAACACGAGTAAAATTCAATTCAATCGTCACTCAAAATATCGTTTTTTGTTTACTTTTAACTGATTGTAGATCATAGTGAATTTACTGTAAAGGCAAAATGATGCTCTCTTAAAGATTTCTTGAGTTTACGCTAATACAATATATTGTTAAATAAAACAAGTTCAACATTAGCTTCTATTTTAATATGTTATTATAAAATAAAGCTTAAAAACGAAAAAATCCGTCAAATTTGTTTTATTTAACAATGATGTTCTCTATTCACTATCATTAAAAAATAATGATAAAAAATAATTATTTCACAAGAATGGCTCTACAGTTTAATTACTCCGATTTTTTTGTATATCGATGTAGAGCATCTCGATTATAATTTCTAAGTCCGTTTACTATTATCACAAAATAGTACAATTTAGAACGGCTCTACTATTTTGCTCAACTTTATATCTCATCGCGCTGTGTAGTAAATTTACCTCAATTTATTTTAACAAATCGAAAAGTCGAAAATACTACGCCATTCTATTGGTTCCCAAGGCTATGATTCCCAAATAAATTTTTTTCCTATCACAAAATTAATAGCACAATCGAAAAAAGCGAAACTCTTATTTTGTATCCCATTGTTAAAAATAGTAAATTCATTTGTACTTAACTCTTATTTATTAAATTTATTTAGAACCTAATTTACATGACGGACGTTCCAAATACAGCACCTGACACTGATTGTCGTGTCACCATCAATCATGAGCCACGTACAGAGTGAGTTCCACAATCATAATTAAGCCACGTATAGAGCGTATCACAATCGTAGAGTATCACAATCATGATTCTTTCGCGATGAGTGAGTACCATAATCATGACTAAGCCACGTATAGATTAAGTGTAACAATCATGATAAAGCCGCGTACAGAGACTATATAGAAGTTTATTGAAATGCGAATACAAGAATGAGTATAGGCACAGCTATGACGCAAGCCAGGTATATGGAGGTGCGGGGTTCACATTCCGATATGATGACGAACTGCTCATTCCAGAGGGAGTCGTTGTTTCGCAATGGCACCTCTAGTACCACCTGCAAGTTGGCCGAATTTGTCTTCCCCTTTACCAAAAACTTATATTCCTAGCCTAAAAAGTGATTCTTTGAAAATGGATGAAAGCTTTCAGCTTTTTTTTTTTTATGCGAAATGTTGTCAAACGAGTAGACGGTTCACCCGATGTTAAGTGAATACCGCCGCCCATGGACATCTGCTACACCCTAGGGTTCCAGATGCGTTGACAACCTTTTGAAAATTGGGCGGTATTCGATCCTACGTCTTCTGGGTAAAGTAAAGTAACAGTCCCACTGCTGGGCCAAGGCCTCCTGTGTACAGAGGGTATCGGAGTATCGGGTATCATAGTCTATCACGCAGACCCACTGCGGATTGGCGGACTGCACATATCTTTGAAATATTTTCTTTGTTTTTTTGTGTTTCGAAAATATAGGGGTTCCCTCACGATACTTTCCTTCACCGCTGAGCATGTTAATTAGTGCCGGCACCCGGGATCGAACTCAGGTTGCTCCAGTATAGTAAACTAGCTGTTAATTGCGGTTTCGCCCGCGCAGCCAAAGAGAATTTACAATGAGTTTTTTATTATACACCAGAATATCTCGCAGATGACTGATTTTTTTTTACTTAGGTAACACTTATCATTACCTATATTTTGGACAATTCACATAATATCTTTATTAATTATAACCTTTGTGTTATTCTGATGTATAAGCTGTATTATTGTAAAGTTTCATTAAAATTAATTCAGGATTTTTGCGCGAAAGAGTAACAAACATGCATCCATACATACAAGCTTTCGCTTTTATCTGGGTGTTTGTCCACGAGAAGTGGAACATCCTCACAATACAAGATGTTTTCGAAGGGAAGACTACAATAGATCTTTCTACGTTTCAGCAGTCGTAAGACTTACTATCTAACCGCTTCCACACAAAATGGTTTTCGAGGTTGTCTTGTAATGAACCCCGATACCTTTGAATGAGAGCCATCTCCTCTCATCTCTGTGCCGGTGCAATGCTGAGGTAAGGGGAAAAGCCTTTCGAAGGGAAGACTACAACAGACATTTTACGCGGTGCTCCTTGGACCTTACAGCCCAACTACTTCCACACAAAATGTAATATAGCTCACCTTCTGCGTGGAGAAGATGTCCAGAGGGAGGTCGCAGCGGGAAGTGCTGTTTGTGCAAGCCCTCAAGGCGCTCCTCGCCACGTCGTACCTGGTCTTCTGCAACTCGAAGCGGGCCCTGATGAAGTTCCTCTGCACCTCGTTCTCAGAGTTGAACACGAAGAAGTAGTAGCCGTTCGCTGGCACGCTGCGCGGAGAAATATTCCGTAACTGAACACGCACACATGTTATTGTGTTTACCCCCGACGTGAAAAGAGGGTTTTTTTATGCGAGGTTGTAGTATGGTATGTAGTATAATACGAGGTATAGGGTTGTTGTAAGTTTGATGTGTTTGTGTATATATATATATATATATATGTATTTGTGTGTCTGTCTGTCTGCTCGTTCGTCTGTCACCAGGCTGTATCTAATGAACCGTGATAGTTATATAGTTGGAATTTTCACAGATGATATATTTCTGTTGCCGCCGTAACAACAAATACTGAAGAGCAGAATAAAAAGAAATAAGTTGAGCCATACAAAAGACATGATTTTTTAGCCGTTTTTATAGATAATGGTACAGAACCCCTTCGAGTCCGACTCGCATTTGTATATGTAGACAAACTGATGCTTAATTGATATATTCCTGACGGTATTAAATTTAGTCAATCAAAAACGTTTGCAGAACTACATTTTCCTCAATCATGGCATTGATATTAATCTTGTGTGCCGGGCTCAAGGCCCATTTAGCGTATAAAACAGAACTGTCACGTCACTATTAAATATGCTCGTTTCGAACAGCTCAAGCTGACTGTTCAGCTAAAGTTAAAAGCGTGATGGCTTATTTTGAACCACCCTATTCGGGATCGAACCCTTACCGATATGTCAGAGCGTTCGCGGCCGCGGCGTCGGGCCGCGACACACCGGGAGCACAAGCGGGGTGTGGCGTTAGGGGTAGGTTCAGCACCAGCCCCTCGCACTCGAGCAGCGCCTCCTCGCTGCTGGAGAACGAGGACCAGAACTCCGAGTTGGACATGTCCAGGGCGGTGGTCTCGTTCACCAGGCTGTGGTGCTCCGCGTAACCGTCCGGGGTGAGGCCCTGGGGGTCACGGGTGGAGTGTTTTCTCTCTTTCTAGATGAGCGCGGAATGAGGTAGCGAGGATAGAACTAGACGGGTTGCATGCAGGAGTTTTTTTTTAATGTGAAAAGTCGCCAAACGAGCAGACGGTTCACCTGATGGTAAGTGAATACCGCCGCCCATGGACATTGGCTACACCCGAGGGTTGCAGATGCGTTGACAACCTTTTGAAAAATTGGGCTCCGGCTGCCTCACTCACCAGACGAAACGCGAAAGTATTTATCATACTTCCTCTTTACGCTGGTCTTCTGTGAGGTCGTGGTACTTACCCGGACGGGCCTGCCGATACATGCAACAGCCGAGGCTGCTGCGTGGTCCTAGTTTTAGCATAAACCTGTCCTGTCCCCGGATAGGTTATTTTTCATTCCGTTTGATCCCAAAAAGGGTCCGGCATTAATGCTAACATGTTTGTAACTGTCTTATTACTTTTACTTCTTAACTGTCTTACCTCTTCCACAGCAGTGTTCCTCAGAACACAGGCTATCTTCCCATTCATTTCTTATACCAACAAGTAGATATAATTTTAAATAACTAAAAAGCTCAACTGCGTTTCTGTGTACTTTGGAAATGATTTGGATATACCCAGTGTCACTCTTACAGTAAATACGAATCTAAAGACACCTCTCAAGCTAAAATCCATCAAGCTCTGAACGGCGGAAAAAGTAAAAGTAGTAAGACAGTAACATAGAACTGTCTTACTACTTTTATCTATTAACTGTCTTACCTCTTCCACAGCAGTGTTTCTCGCTTCGTCGTCTTCGTTCAGCTCCTTTTGTAGCTCGATTTGCCCAAGCATCAGCTCTCTCTTCGCCCTGGCCTCCTCTCTTGCATCACGACGCCTTTCTGTAAATAGATGTCGCCCTTGACGTCTTAAGATCCCACTGCGGACGTATTGATAGTGTTGTAAGTATCCCTAACGACATGCATGTTTGATATGTATGGATGTGGCTACAGCGAATGAAATGAAGTGTGCAAGAATAGTGAGTAGAGGCAATCTTAATCTCTGCCTATCTCTGTTTGAGCGGTGTGAACTTTACGTACTTGTGTAGACAAGAGAATTAAGATGTTATTTATTTTTATCGTATATTAGTAACATAATAGTTTTTTTTACGTTTTCTAGCCTCAAACTTAGCAACGTTTGTACTATGGTTAGTACTACTACATAACTGATAAACATACTTAAACATACTTGTCTTCTGTAAATTAATACATATAAAAGCACTCAGACAATGGAAAATATCTTCGCCACACAATATTTTTCCAGTAGTGGGATCAAATCCACACTCTCTGACGCAAGAGGCAGGGTCACTACCCATTAGGCCAATCGGGATTCTTTTATTACATTAAAGTGATTTGAAAAGGGAAAAATAATTACGCTGTCTCTGCGTCCGGTTCCTCTCCTCATCGATGGCTTCCACCAGGACCCTCCGAAGCCTGTCCAGTTCTTCATCACTGCCAACCACCTTCGCCATTATGGCGGACTTGTTCGAAGCCTAGAATTAGCCAAATTCCAAAATCAAAAAGCTATCTATTTCATAGAATTCCAACAATTTGTAGATGATAGGAGTGACTGTAAAAGTCAAGTTAATCGAAAGGAAAGTCATTCGAAAATTGAAAGTTGGTGTGATGATTATGGGAAAAACCGGGTATCTTTACATATATCAAACAAGGTCACTCCCGCTGTTGATCTTTTAAATTATGCGACGGATTTTAATGCAGTTTTTGGCAACAGATAGAGTGATTCATTTTTGATGATTATAGGGAGGCTTTATATATATATATATAAGAGATTTCCACGGATAATTGACTTATTACGATATCTCTGGAACCATAAGGCGTAGAGACTTGAAATTTGGTAGAAATATTCCTTTCGCCGAGTAAAGGTCAGCTAAGAACTTTACGAAATTGCACACAACAACGTTTGCCGGATTAGCTAGTATGTACTATACCTGAATGATATTACAATAGAGAAAAGCCAAGAAATTCAAACATTTGTACAGTGATGTAGTAACACATGTTGTGTTTGTGCGCTTACATTACAAACGCTGGTTAAACCTTACAAAATAGATCAAATGAATGAATTAATAAATATTCTTTATTGCACACATCGTAATAAAAGAAGTACATTAAGATTGACAATTACAAGTACGAGGCCGGTGAGGGTAGCTAGTACTTTTATAACACGAAAAACGAAACCAATAAAGTTTAAAAAAAAAGACCAGCTCGAAGTGGTATTAAGTTATTGCATTTCATCTGGTGATCACCAGAGTAAGCGATCACTGTCACCCATGGACATTTGCAACACCCGTAAGATTGCAGACGCGTTGCCACCTTTCAATAAAGTGGGTCCCGGTTACCTCACGCATTAGACGAAACGCACAAGTATGATACTTAAACTTCATGTCGGTATACGGCGAGATCGCCGTACTTCACCTGACGGACCTGCCCATTCGTGCAACAGACTGTTTCAATCCACTTTTAACAATTGTTCGATGCTGGTGTTGTACATGTCCATGGGTGATAATCACTCAACACCAGGAGATCCAATACCTCGCTTGCAACCATCTCACATAAATAGAACGCGAATCTAATGAAAAGACATACAACTTCATAAGTACAGCAATTCCAGATGCCACATGGCTCTACCCCACAAGGCGTAAGATAAGAGGTTTTATATCAATAATTACTAAATACTTATAAGTATAGAGATAGCATAAAAATTCTATGTATAGATAGATTTTTTATGCTATCTCTGCTATCGCATCCACACAAATTATCAGAAAACATTATAACTCATTCTACACTGGTTTACGTATTTGTTTCTTTACGCAACTGATATCTAGTTACATAAACTGTCTCTTTAACGATCTTGCATGTTGTCAAAAATTTCAGTGAATACATAATGGTCCAAAACGTTGGGAGTATTTTGGACAAAATTGATCCTCACAACCATCTTAAGGCAGATGAATAAGTAGAAGTTATATTCTCTCCAAGTACTACAAAGGTTTAGGTTTTGATTTTAACTATGTTATTGTTTTTGGTAATATTTTAGAAAACGTGTGTTTCATCATCATCATGGTCATCAGCCACAAGACGTCCACTGTTGAACAAAGACCCCCTTAGAACGCCACAATGAACGGTACTTTGGCATTTTGGCATTAGAAACAAAAACAAAAAAATATATTTTTCGAAGATATGTGAAGTCCGCCAATCCGCAGTGGGGTCGCGTGGTGGACTATGCCCTGATACCCTCTCTATAGAGGAGGCCTTTGCCCAGCAATGGGACATGTATAGGCTGTTACTTTACTTTTTGGCATTTTCATCCACCGGTTGTCCGCGACTCTTTCGATGTCGTCGAGAATTTTTACTCCCCATCGCTCATAAGTTTTTCGCTTATTTATTGTGTGTATTGTGTGTTACATACTATTGCTTGAAAACCAATGGGCTTGGGTTCAATGAGCTAATAACAGCTAGTCTTCGGTCTTAGGGATATGGGTATGATATTATTTATAATTTATTTTATATTTATTTATTACACGCACGCACACAACTGTCATTACAGGCTGACCCAATGCGAAAGTGTAGCCAAACATTATAAAGTAGTCGAATCAAAAAATAAAAAATAATAGCTAACAATTTCATTAAAGTAATTGAAGCAAGTAAGAATACACTAAAAAAAATCACACATGTAATTTTATACGTAACATATCACGTAATGGGATACTATGTTAAAATCATTTCTATGGCATGAAAATAGATCAATTCTGTCGGCAACAAAGTGAGCAGGAAGTGCACGCGTGAATGGTGCATATATCGGAGTGACGTCACCTTTAAAGAAGTGCCAGCTGTTATTTTTGTTTGTGAAAAGTTGTCAAACGAGTAGACGGTTCACCTGATGTTAAGTGAATACCGCCGCCCATGGATATCTGCTAAACCCTAGGGTTCCGGATGCGTTGACAACCTTTTGAAAATTGGGCTCCGGCCACCTCGTTCAACAGACGAAACGCGAAAAAGGCCTCCTCTGTACAGAGGGGTGTCAGGGGTATCCACCACGAAACTTCCCCACTTCGAAATATGTTTTTTGTTATTATTTCGAAAATAGTATTTTAAATATTATTTTACTTCACCGCTGAGCACGCGATAATTCGGCACTGAAAAATTAACAATTTCATTGGTGCCGGCACCGGAGATCGAACTCAGGCTGCTCGAGTATATGCATTCAAAGCGAGCGCCCGGACACTGAGCTATCACGGCAAGGTATCGTGACCTTACCTGTTCCTCGTAATCTACGCCCATTGTCCTGTGCAGCTGTTTGAGGACCCTCTTCCCTCTATTACCAAGCGCCTGAAGTTGCTTCAGGACGTCTTCAAACACTTCCTTAGAATTCACTTCTGCGATTTCGCTCTGCGATGGTACCTAATAGTAATATCTAATTAGATCACATTTTGATTATATCTTTGGCGAAGAGTAGATAAACATATACTGAGTCCGCAATTTTACCACTAATGGCCGCATACTGGCATGGTGAAGGTTACTATCTTTTGGGAATATCTTTGACGAAGGGTCGATAGACATTTAGAGAGTTAGTTTAGTTACTCGATGGTAGAAATATGTTTACATAACAAGAAATTCCATTATGTGCTAGTATGCAATTTATAAATCAAATATATATGTCTATAAGTAGAAAGGTGCTAAAATTTATTTATCATATATCGTATACAAAGTATTAGAATATATACTATGTTCAAAACTAATAATGGGATGCTGCAGTAGTACAAAAGGAAGTCAGCAGCTGTTTCTATATGCTACAACACTGTAAATAGGATTAATTATTATAATAATATAAGCGCATTAAAACTGAGCCAACCCATATAATATATCCTAATTCACGGTCCTACTGCCGAAAAAAAAAAAACTAGTGCGTAATACTTTTAAGTCGAGGAAGGATTGCGTGAGACCTAATAATCTTCAATGTTCTTCAATTAGAGATTGAGATTGAGACGTTCATAATTTGTTAATAAGAGATTAATCATATAAAGTTTTTTGATCTCTTATTGAGAGGAAAGATTGAAGTCGAGAGACTAATTAATATAGCATTTAGATATAGATTAAACAAGTTATAGTAAACAATGTACTGATAAGCGAAGCTGCCATTACGCAACAAAAAGAATATTGTTACATAATAATGAGACAAACAGAATTCCTTGAAAGAAAATTATCATAACGAGACAGTGTTATGAATAAACACAGTATGTTTCTCCGGATGTCTAAAATCTTTAAAAGCTATACAAATAGTTATTTAATTAATACAAGCTCAACTAATATCCTCTAATGATGTTATTAGGCGTTGATACATATTTTTGTTGAAATTGCCGGGAAATTTACCTCAAGATAAGGAAGAGCCATAAAGAAAAATATCAAATACCTCGTTTATGACCGAATATTTAGATAGTGAGACTGTTTTATAGAACACAAACACTATCATGATAAAAATCTAGGCCTAAATACCTCTAAACGGCGTTGTATCTGCCGACAAATAAAACATTAGAAATTTAGCGTTGACAAAGTCTTTTGCAAATTTATAATAAAAATAATATCTAAAAATGTACAGCTTTGATATTAGAAATTTCGTTATGCAAATATAATTTTGCACAAAATTTCTATCCGGCCAATATCGAATTATGAACTACGTATTTCTCCATTCAACATCCTTGGGACGACAATTAACAAAGATATTATTAAATTGCCTAGCAATCATTTGCATTCATTTGATAAGCATAGAGTTCGAGATAAAGTAACTTTCCATTACGCGTAATTTACAATGTAATATAATAATAAAGTTTTGATGGCTGTGACTGTGAAATTCTAGTTCTTATTGTTTGAGAAAATGTTATTTTTGCAGTTTTAATGATGCAGGATGTCAACAAATTTTTTGTTACTAGTTCTTACTTATTTTTAGGTGATGCAAGTAGTGTATGATCATGCTTAGAATAATCTTTCGTAGATTATAAATTGGGCCATAATGGAATTACCTCCTACAAATTACAATGAAGCATTTTTTATTGTAAAACGTGGTTTGCAGAATCTGTGACAGACTTCTTTCTTCTCTTTTTCATTCAGTATGTCCTTTTATTTATTTCGTCCTTGTAGATGGTTGTTCGTTTCGAATTTTCTCCTTAACTAAATCATCTTTCATAAATTGTGCTCACCTTTTCTTAACTTTACTTTTACTTTTGTTGCATACCATAATAAATTTTCAGTGCCAATCTTTGTTGATTTTGTCTCCAATTAGGTTATTAAGTGATCTTTATTGGAGATTTTCAATATAAGTTGCAAAATAGTACAATTAGAGATTATACTGCGAATAAGTCACAATCGTATTGCAATAGATCAAGAGTAGAGGGTAATTCTATTTGAGCCCATATGCTATCAGAAATAATTCGGCCTGTTATGACAGTATGTATAGTTTAGGTCTTAAGCAGATATATATTTTTACTACATAATACAGCTCTCTATTATATAACAACTTAGTAAAAACAAACAAAAGAATATGTAAACTCTTTTTTTGACGTCGTACTAATTAAGTAAATGTAGAACATCAAAATGAAAAATGACAGATAATTCTTTACTCACCTCTATTTCTGGCATCTTAATGTCCAGTTTTAAAGTTGTGGGAGCTTCGTATTTCTCCGTCACAACTATCGTATTATCCTTCTCATTTACATAGTTGGAGCTTGTGGTTGTAGTATTATCTTCTATAGCGTCTTTCGTTTCATCAAGTTTATCTATTGATTTGTTGGTTTTGGCTATAAGCTTTTCGACATCCACAGAATTGTTGGTAGGTGGTACGTTAGTGGTTAAGACGTTTTGGACACTACTATTACCGTCTATATCTGTAATTTGAGAATAATGTTGATACAGTATATGAATATATGAATATATGAATATATACGTCTTAAAGAAATAGCAGAATAATAGAAGAAATTGTAGAATCATCATAGGTTTCATTTGATCGTGGTATCTACGAACATACGTATTATTTTTTTATGTAATATTTTACGATTCATAAAAACGCGCAAGCGTCTATTTGAATAAAGATATTTTTGATTGATTGATTTGATTGCTGCGTACTTTTATTTAAATGTTTAGTTTTTTTTTCGCATCCAGTTGAGGATTTATAGCTTCATCTATCTGAAAAATTATCACTATGAGACAGGCTACTACAGACTCTCTGCTGTTATAATAGTTTTTGTAACAAGATTACCGGTTAATTGTTTGTTGGTTGTATATAATAGGTTTGACTTATTTTGACGTACCGGCAAAATTTTAATAGCTGTTGATTTGTAATGAAATGATTTAACAGTTTTCGAAATCTTTTTTTTATTAAACTACTTTTGACAAATTAAGAAAAAGTGATGTTAGATAAAGTATATAAAAGTTTTGAACATTTTGAGGAAAAGCGAGATATACTTTGATTTATCGACTTCTGGGTGCTAAGTTCACGTGACTAGCATATATTTTTATTTTGTTGCGTCAAAGCATGTATAAATTCCTGCGTCCGTACATAAGTACATACTCGCGGTTTTTTGTTGGATGATGTTTTTGCGTTCCTAGCTTGCAGAAAGATTAAAGTTTATAAGAGATTGTAAATACTCTACGCAAAAGAGGTAGAGTGCAATCGAAACCACAGCACCAACTGAGAAGGAGTTACAGTTGAGCTCTGCGATGAATAAAATGGAGCGTAAGTAAGTTTTCTCAAAAACTCGGTATTTAAGACTTGTACTAACGGTTAACTCTTAATTGTTGACAAGCGTTTAATTATAAATAATTGGTCTGTGCGTAATGTGGTGTCGTTATCGAATTGAGTGGTTCGAGGTTATCGAAACGGAATAGGCCGACTGTATGTTTGATTTGCTGTCGAGTAGTGCGTTCTCTAAACGTGTTCATTGCATAAAATCGATAAAGGCTTATCGTGTTTGAATTTATATACGGGCCCTTACGTCTTCTAACACTGATAAGCGAGATAGATAGTTGACGCTGTCCTTTTTCCACTGAGCTTTAGTGCTAAAAGTTGCGAAGATCTACAGCGAGACGGCAGTTTTATTTGCACCTTTATATCTCTCCATTCAATAGGATAGAGAGCCGTGATAGCTCAGTGTCCGGGCGCTCGCCTTTAATTCAATATACTCGAGCAACTTGAGTTCGATCCCCGGTGCCGGCACCAATGAAGGTTTTGACTTTAAGTGCTTACTTATCACGTGCTCCGCGGTGAAGGAAAACATCGTGAGGAAACGTTTTTATTAAAACCTTTATATTTTCGAAATAATAACAAAAAAAAAGTGGGGCCGCGTGGTGGACTATACCCTGATACCCTCTGTATAGAGGAGGCCTTTGCCCAGCAGTGGGATATGTATAGGCTGTTACTTTACTACTTTTATTCAATAGGATGAACAGATAAGATTCATCCAGGTTTGCAGCGAAGTAGGCAAAAACAGAAACAAACTTTACTGACCTTAAAGTGTCTATTAGATCCTTTTAAACTGTCTGATGACTCCGTGGCGCAATTGACCAGGTATTCGGCACTAGGGGTCGTTGATTCGATTGCCACACGAGACAACTATTTGTGCGAACCAAAGACATTTTTATGAGATCTGATTGTTTGTCTACTATACATTTATGTATGTAAAAGTTCCTTACAACACAGCACAATGTTATCCTACAGTAAGAGGGTAAGCTTTTCGAAGGCAAGACTACAATAGATCTTTCTGCGTTGCAGTAGTCGTAGGGCATCTATCGACTATTCAACCTATCCATCCTCTATGGACTTCTATGGAGTATCCAACCCCTTCCACACAAAATGGTTTAGAAGGCTGCATTGAATGAACCTGATACCTTTGAACGAGAGCCACCTCCTCTCATCTCTGTCCACGTTGGTATCTCTGTGCCGGTGCAACGCTGGTAGAGACATGAGATGTGACGGCGGATGGTAATACTTTAGCTGTTCGTTCTTCGCCGCTTGCCTGATCGCGTGGAGTCGTTCCAGTATCTCCTTTAACTCCTGGATCAAGCGAGGCGAGGTGTGGAATCAGAGTTTTGCTCGTCAAAAATGTGTTTTTTTTTAAATTGTATAGATCAATCGGCAAGAAAAATTTTTCGCAGTTGCCAGTATTCGACCCTTAGCTAGCATCTTAAGTGCAGGGATTGTCACATGAAATTAATATCTTAGTATAATTTTCACGAGCATTTATGAAGGTTGCTCGTTTATTTGAAACAGAGAATGATAGTGAGAAAAAATATAAGGATACAAAAATTATACAGCTCTCCTTTATAGTTATGGTTAAAGCACATAATTATAAAGTGTTCCGGGATCTTTTTATATGAATGGCCTCCATCATATCGTTTGAGTTTGTTTGAGAACAGGTAAGGGTAGTAGTGATCAAAAAACTTTATTGAAACAATCATCTTTTCTAAGTGTTTCTTACAACATCCCAAGTATAAATGGCAAGTAACATATTACACCTAAAGCAAATTAGCCTAAACAATGAATTAATCTAAATAATGTTTTCTAATAGTTAAGTCGACCATACCTTTGGGTCGTGGTCTGTGACGTCAACACTTGGGACCGGGTCTGATGACGTCATGTTTGCGTTTTGTGAAGGGTCATGAAAGCTGACTCCGGCCTTGTGCCGTTTCATAGCCCCTGTGGACAATTTTAAGTAATACACTAGATATGTGTGTCCACATATGGTCGACAAAGTCCTAATTTATTACAACCGACATGTTTTTCTTTTGAATATGTCTTGACAAATTACTGCGTGAGGGTCGTCTTGCTTACTTAAGACTGTAGCTTACAGTATAGGTTATTGTCTAAACATGGAAAATTATAACCCTGTTTGGCACATGACACATTATGTTTTAGTAGTTATTGATGAAAAAATTATAACTTTTAACATTACTATCGAAATCAATGAAACTTTTTACGATATAACGAGTTCTTAAGGGTACTTTAAAAAATAAAATTAACTGGATTTTTGTTCTGTTGGAGTTCTAGTGATAATGTATGAATTAATGATAATGTATAAATGATTCTTGTAAATAAATGGAAAAAGCCGTAAGCGCTACGGGATTCAAGCCTGCGTCTTCCGTGTAACGAACCCAGATTTTAAACGACAATTAAGCTAAACGGCCTCCTTGGCCAAACGGTGTCCTTTCGAAAACTAAACTGATAGAAGGTTTCCAACTATTTTACGGAATGACATAGATTTTTGCTCAATTTGTGAGAATTTATTTTTGTTATCCATGTCACTTTTTATTTTAATGATTACAACATTAACGCCCGGTTTCTGAAACACTGATCATCGTAGATGTCAACTAATCAGCCGTCAAATGGCTTTTCAAATTTCATTTTAGTTGCCAAAAGGACGGTTAAACTCTCTGAATTGACCAGAATGATCTTCTAATGATCAGAGCGATCAATCCAAAGAGTTTAATTATCCTTTTGGCAACTAAAATGAAATTTGAAAACCATTTGACAGCTGATTAGTTGACATCTACGATGATCAGTGTTTCAGAAACCAGCCGTAAATCTATCTAAATTACATACTATCTACTAAACCTAGTTCACGCGGCATGACACCAAGAACGCTAGCTGCATTTCTGCGCTGAATAGTTATGCTTAACCTTTGAGCGAGAAAGAACCAGCCCTTTTTTTCACCAGCCGCGGCGCTAAGCTTGGACCTAACTTTAAAAAAAATCGATATAAGGGGACCCCACGGCCCTAAAGTTTCAGTTATCGTACATAACCTGTCTTTATATACATGTTGTAACTACCTTTAAGTGGAATCTTGTTAATCTTAGCTCCTAAGACTATTATCATACTTAATTACAAAACAACGTGTTATTCAGTTGGTGGTTCTTAACAGTAAATAAATAAATTAGATTATAATAAAATTTTCAAAACCAGCATAGAGTTTAACAATCCAATAACAAACTATGTGCATTCATTAAGTTAGTCCAAGAATTATTTCGTATATAACATTTACCTCTATCGTAATTGGGTGCAATAAACTCGTCAGTTACAACAGATATCATGAGCGTTGAGTGTTTGAGTAACACCTGCAGTATCATTACAAAGCGATAAACTGTTCTTAATAGATATTTTACAGTAGGAATAAGCATCTTGAGATGCTTGATGTTGAACACCATACCTACAAAATTAGGTAGTTTAAAAAAATTTAAGTTATGTACCGTTGTAAACAACATCATCACAAGATATCGACAGTTTCAAGCAAGCTAATCCACTTTGACTTGTACATTAACAATATTTCTCAATTCAGGCAGCAAAAGCAATAATAAGACAAAAGTTTGCTGATGGTGAATTGGAAAACGGAATGTTGCTCTCATTAAGTTTATTTAACCACGATTTCATAAATTATCTCTCGATGACGACATCCTTAATTAATGACATTTGGAGATACAATAATTATGGTAGGGCGACGCAACAGTTTACGGTGCTGCACGAATGGGCAGTTCCGTCCGGGTAAGTACCACGACCTCACAGAAGACCGGCGTGAAGTGGATATTTTATAGTTCTGCGTTTCGTCTGGTGAGTGATCCAAGGTGGATCACTCACCAGACGAAACACATAAAAAAAAAACATGGCGTAAGAATAACGGCAAAAGTTTCATTTCTCGTTGCATTGGCGTTTTTTTTTTGGAATTTTAGTTTTCGAGTAAAATATTTCGCGTGTCCTCAAATCCAAGTATTCAAAATATTCCGACATCGGAAGTGCTTAAACTGTTTAGACAAGAGCCGCTCGAAAATTTACACGATAAGATATAGTTTTACAACGGACATCGACATCGGTAACCAAAAAAGTATTGTGACACTAACTTCTGCCCGTGGCTTTACCCGCGTGGCACTTTTTTATATAGAATTCTGAATTTTATCGGAACAACAAGTGTATAACTCCCTATTCTATATTAGGGATAAATAATTCCTATTGTAAGTCCATATTATTAACTCTTCGTCAATGAATTTATACAACAATTAATTTATACAATTGAAGTATCTTTTTAGGGTTCCGTACCCAAAGGTTAAAACGGGACTCTATTAGTAAGACTCCGCTGTCTGTCTGTCTGTCTGTCATCCGTGTCTCATGAACCGTGATAGTTAGTCAGATTACAGTTACTAAAAAACAGAATAAAAGACATTTAAGTGGGGCTCTCATAACAGACACGATTTTTTTGCCGTTTTTATAGTTGGTTGGTACGAAACCCTTCGTGCACGAATCCGACTCGTACTTGGCTGGTTTTTTCAAGTGTCCCCGACGCAAAAATTTTATAAGTCATTTCAATATACCCATTCAAATGTAACGATTTAAAAGGCATACATATTTTTTTTATGTGAAAAGTTGCCAAGCGAGCAGACGGTTCACCTGATGTCAAGTGAGTACCGCCGCCCATGGGCATCTGCTACACCCGAGGGTTGCAGATGCGTTGACAACCTTTTGGAAATTGGCCATTTGGAAATATGAGACACACGTAATATGAACAAACACACTTTCACATTTACGATATCAGAGAGACCTACCCGGGTCGTTCGCCTTCCCGTCGACTTTCTTCAACTCCTGCACCTTCTCCAACAGCGTGGTGTTGGACAGTAAGCCGAGCTCGTAAGCTTCGTACAGCTCATCCAACTCCTCCGAGGAGTTGTCACCGATGTACGCGCACTCTTGGAGGTGTTTGTAGCCTTTGATCATTATTAGGGAGGCGCCCGGCCATCTGGCGATGCGAGTGGAACATATTTAAAAAAAATAGGTGTACGTACGCGCGTGAGAAGTTATTCTTCTTGGCCATCAACAAAAATTGTTTTTAATTGCATGCAAATAATTAATTACAATAAAATAATAAAAGGACTGGAAAAGCATATAAATAATAAAATTATGAAAGTGCCATCTACATTCCTCATTGAGAACTGTAACGGGCGAATGTGATTGAGAATATGCTGCCATCTAGAAAAAATAAGCGGTTTAGCGGGCAGCTTCAAAGGTGTGACTTTTGTGTTACAGTGATGCGCGCGTATCTTAAAATTTCACTCTCTTAATTTTTTTCATAACGCGCCTAAAGACTACTTCAAAAAACGCGTCAGATGATGATGGTTTAGTGCCTGGAACGTCAGTGTTGGGATGTGACGGTGGAAGGTTCAATTCTAAGCGGCGTGTTGCTATCTGTTCTACGTTTACCGGAATTCTTGCATGTGCAAAAGAGTGTTTATTAGTGTGTTTGATGAATGGCAACAACCTTGCCACCTGGCACGTTTGCAGGAATCACGAAAGGTGGATTGTATTACGTTTCATTCCCTTCACGTTAGTTTAGCCGTGATAGATTATTGTCACTTGCTTTTAATTGTACATACACTCGAGCAACTAAGTGCAAATGAATTTGTTACTGTAATTTTAAATGCTGACTCATAATGTGTTCACCGATGAAGAAACGCATCGTAAGGAAACTTATATTTTGGGAATAATAATAAAAAAATAAATTTCGAAGATATGTAAAGTCTGCCAACATGCGGGGGGATAGAGTGGCGGCTGTACATAGGAGGCCTTTGCACAGCTGTGTAATCTTAAATCTGTATAATCTTATATTTTATTTCAGTTTCATAATATCAGTTTAAATTTTTCATTCTAATGGCAACTTGCTTCTGTGACGAGTTTAGTTTTTGCGCAGGGGATTTAATAACAACTAAGTACAGCAAAAGTCTAAAACAGTTTGTTAAATAAACGGTAATTGGGTAGTACTAATATTAACTCCTCAGGGATTAAAGCTAAGCTGTTAGGATATATCACTGTAATTGAATTATCTATCTCTAATTGCAAGTTGATGAAAACAATAATGAAATTATTACATAATGCCGACTACCGATCGATCTTTGATCTAAACCCTCCGATGATCCTAAACCCTCAATGATGTTCGAAAATTATTTACCTTCTATTTTTGAGTCGAATTGTGTATGATTCATTAAACGATCAAAGATAAATTAAAAGAATTATCGTAGTTAGTTACAAGATAAGGGGAAGTATTTGATAGTCAATCTATCTTTCGATTTTTGAAGATTAGACCTATTTATTATATCACACAATTCTAAATTAGAAATCAACACAACCAAACAGTAATGAAGGAACTACATTCACGACTACAAAGGACCTAGATTCCATGTCACGAAAAGTGTAACTTTTTTAATGCCTTATATATTCTTCGTGAAGACCAATTTGCCACATAAAGTATGGGAGTTGAGTATTCTGTTTTAGAAACTGCCTTATAAATCCAGTTTCGATCCTAGACTTATCAAAATTTCCTTTTTGGTAGGATGTACATGTACGATTAGTAAATTTAAATCACTTTATTCGCCTTGTGGGATTGCAACATCGGTTTATATAGTGTATAGAGCAATATTACAATTTTTTTTGTAATATTTCAATAATACAAATGTGGTAGACTGTGCTGTAGGTTGATACTATAACTGTGGTAGGGTCATGCGAAACTCTTCTCCGTTTCACGAATGGGCAGGTCCGTCACTGAAAGTACCACGACCACAGAAGTGAAATGTTATAAGTGAAGTGGAAGTATTATATATGTTGGCGCTGGCAACACTGTTTACCGGATATGACGTTATCTACTCGAGCTAAGGGACACATGGTCGCATAGAGCAGCGGTCACTTGGATTTCGGCTGCGTTCCCGGACGGTGATATAACCACTAGTGCTGCTTGTCGTTATAATAGTTGTTAATATTCAAGTTCAGTAATATTTAAAATATTATGATCAAGGTAAAAACGTTAGAACTCTTATATATACTTCTGCGTTTTGCCTGGTGGTGAGGTAGCCGGGGTGTATTTTATTCAAAGGTGAACGAATCTACCCTACTAGTGTTGCAATTGTCAATGGGCGGTGGTTATCACTTAACATCAGCTGAACTGCCAGTCAGTTTGACACCTTCTCACAAAAAACAAATAAACTTAAATATAGTCTTGTCTATCGTATAATTTTAACAAATTATACGATAGACCATGCTCAATCTCTGTCAAAGAATTTGATTTGAAGAGATGAGCCTGACAAAAGATTCGACCTTTTCAACATTAATATCTAATACAATGATAATTGTAGTCAGGATTTTTTTATTTTTTTATTTCATAAAGTGGCAAACGAACTGGCGGTTGACGTTAAGTGATAACTGCCAGCCATGGACTTTTGCAACACCAGTAGGGTTGCAAATGCATTGCCATCTTTAAATAATCTGCGCCCCGGGTACCTCGCTCGCCAGACGAAACGCAGAAGTGTAACACCTCTACTTGACGCCGGTCTTCTGTGAGGTCGTGGTACTGACCCGGACGGACCTGCCCGTTCGTGCAACAGTGAAGACTGTTGCGTGTTTCTACCACAGTTAATAGAGTAACATTTGATAGATATATTTCAGATGTACTTCCAAAAATGTTATACGAGTATATGGACAGCGACTGTACCTGACGCACGTGGAGACCGTCACGGTTGAACCCTTCAGCAGATAGAAGCCCCAGTACTCCTTCATATCGTCCTCAAGCTCCAGTTCCCTGGTCATAGAGACCGGCACCAGCTCGTCAGCAAACGCCGGTGGACCGGGCATCACGAAAGCGTTGAACGTCGCATTAGACTTCACCACTTGGCGCTAAGGAATACTGGAAACTTTAATATGTTTTAGGCGGTCTGCTTATTTCCCCCCATTTTGGCTGTTTTAATGTAAACTATTACGGCGGTAGGGCCACGCAACGGATACGCTGTTGCACGAATTGGCAGGTCCGTCCGGGCAAGTACCACGACCTCAAAGAAGACCGGCGTGAAGTGGAAGTGTTATACTTTTGCGTTTCATGTGTGCCGGCCGTATAGCTCGTAGAACCGATAACCAATGGGGAAGAAAGATTCTTCAGTGGCCTCACAGAAGACCGAAAGCGTGAAGTGAAAGTGTTACGCTTCCGCGTCTCGTCTGGTGAGTGAGGTAGCCGGGGCCAGCTTTATTATAAGGCAGCAATGCATCTGTAACAATACGAGTGTTGCAAATGTCTATGGGCGTCGGTTGTCACTTACCATCAGGTGATCCGTAAGCTCGCTTGCCACCTTCTCGCATAAAAAAAAACTAAGTGCGACAGGGATAGCGACACCAGTAGGTGTCACTAAAGTCCGATACCAATTCAGCTTACTTAATATTCAGGGCTATGTTCTCGCTTGGAGGCCTCGTATTTCTATTACTGTGTAGGACTACTCACTATTATATGGATTAAACACTTGTGCATATGTGCGGGAAATCGATTGACGCAGATAGCTCTAGACCGTGCCTTGTGGCAGTCTGTGGGGGAGGTCTATGCTCAGCAGTGAACTCTGACAAGTTGAAATGATGCTGATAATGAAGGCTATCATTTTGCTTGACTTTTACTACTGTTGTTTGCTTATCGACTATTACATGAGAATTTAAGTAACGATTTTCCAGATCAGTTAAGAAAGCATGGTCGATAAACAGTTGCCTTAGCAGGCTTTTACTTATCTGGTTAAGCCTACCTTAACGACCAAGGCTATTTTCACCGTGGCCATAAAAAGATTACAAATATCATATCATTACTTGCCAAACAACATACAATTACGATCCGCTATGCTAAAGTCGACCGATACCTTATCTTGACAATTTTATCATTGACAGTCAGACTGAGCGTTTATGATAACGCAGAAGAGTGAAATGCGAGATATAAATAAACACATCTTTTCCTCGACTTATGGAAATTTACGCAGTACGAGATCAGTTAGCCTTTCATTTTTTAATTTTAAAGTATTGCAGTAATCTGGGTTTGATTTTAATGAGTATATTAGGCAGTTATTACATCTCTGAAAATACCAATGGAAAGAAAGATACGTTTATTTGTTAGAACATGGTGCAATATAGCATATATATATATATACAATATAATAAGTTGAAAGAAGGGTGGTGAGAGGAGCAAGCCTTGAGAGACCCCTCATTTAAAAGGCGGCTCTTGCCTTATCTAATTCTCAATCGATCAAAACAAACTTAAGGCGTACCTGACACCAAGTCGGTGATATTTTGCTATCAATAAGACGCATATCGGTCATGCTCATGGGATACATCTGACCGGAAAACACTCTGTACCTGAAAAGAACTGTCGGAATTAGAACATCTTAAGTATTAAGCTTTGCATAATTATATCTATTTTACGGGCATAATTAACAATTTAACTTTTCACTGGTTAAAAATTACTGCTTTGTTTAAAGCTGTTCTTTCTATAGGAACCTCTATTTTATAAATTTTCTTGAATATAATTGACAAATCTGATATTAAATAATAATTACATTTTTTTAAAAAGATATTTTAGATTAGAGGTTTTAGTTAACCAGAGTCAATGTTCTCAACCGGACAAATTTTAAAATGAAACCGTTAAATAAATATTTTTTTACGATATAAATGAACTTACGTCACGGTCAATAGACTGTGCGGTAAAATTTTTATTTCCGGCTGCAAAATTGATTCGAATTGAATGTTGGGTGGTCGTTAAGCTAGACGAAATGGATCAATACTTTGCACAGATTAAAAACATTTTAGAAGGTCTTGCGAAAGATCACGAAAGGGCAAAGTGACTTAAATTTGTCGCCAAGATCAAAAATCAAAAAGAAAATTATGAAATCTGCGGAACTTTAAAAGTAGTGTTAAAGTTTAAATTTATAGAAAAAGGGATGAAAAGTTTTCACCACTGCGGGAATCGAACCCGGATTCGAGCCCAGACGCTTTAACCACTAAACTAATTGGCTGATTGTCACATCGATGAAAATATCAACGTATTTTTTTAAAACTTTTCTTCCTTTGGAATGGACATAGGTTATTAACTAGTTTTTACACCACGACCAAACTTTTCACGTAATGTAACGTAAGAAGTAACTTGCTTGCAAAGTATTTTATGGTAAGTGTTCGATAAATAAGCTGAACCATTTTTAAATAATTCAATCCTTATTCTGGTTCGTACGTTCGTTAGGAAACGATATCTCCTAACGCTCGAACGTGCGGCTGAAGCGACTCTAACTTTACCAAGCACTCAAATCTTTGATTACATATTTTTCAAGTATATAATGAATTCAAGTATGTAACGATTATATACTACACAAGTATATAATCCCACTATTCATAAGTTTAATTTTCCTTGTCCGAAGGTTGTCTAGAAGAGATCGCTCTTTAGCGATAAGACCTTAATTAAGCCTTATTGTACCTAGGTTATTCATTTTATATCAACTGTACAAAACTTTTTGTGGTGTACAAAAAATATATAATAAATAAATAAATAATAAATAATCAAACACTCACCTCATGTACAACGGCACGAAGATGAACAGACAAGGCAGGACGATCATCAGAGCCAACATCCTGCAGAGCCTAATCGGACCCTGGTAGCAGGATCTGGACGGCACGTGGCTGAACTGGCGTGTTGGGCGTGGCCGATTGGCCAAGCCCGCTGCGAAATATCGGATTATAAAACCACAATACAAATTGTCAGGCCTAACAGTACAAATCCTGTTTAAGCGAATGTTTCAGTCTTTAGTGCCGATCCATAAAGAACTAGCTGATACTGCGGCGTTCGCAGTGCACGGTCAAAGGGAGTTAACAATGACATTTTTTTGATTTGAATGATGAATTTGACACCAGAAGATCTTGCAGATGACAGAATTTTTTCTAACTTACTTGACACTTATAATTTAGACAATTCACACAATATCTTTATAACTTATGGCCTATGTGTTATTCTGATGTATAACCTATGTAATCGTAAAGTTTCATTAAAATCCATTCAGTAGTTTTTGCGTGAAAGAGTAATAAACATCTATACTTTTGCGTTCATAATATTAGTAAGGAAATAAGGAACAGGATGAGAGATTTGACAAGACGTTCAAAGAATTTTACAAAACCAAGCATGTTTCCATTTAACCGATAAGAAGCCACGTCTACTGAATATAGTTCAGGAAAAAATCTTGTGAGGAATTTGTACGCGTACTTTGAAACAGTATTGTAGCTTATTGATTTGTTTTAACACGTATATTATACATTATTAAATGAAACTATTTTACGGAGTTTATCGCGTTGAATTAGATTTTTAAATTCCCGACGTTTCGAACCCTCTCCAGCGTTCATGGTCACCGGACAAACTGAGTTAGTTCACGTCTTAATGTCAATAATTTTATTATTTATTTTTATTCTATCTTATATTTTATTTATCTACGCAAAAGGAGCTAATGGTGTCTTGAAGTCTAGCAGTGTTGGTATGCTTGGATTTCATTCTATAAATTGTGGGATCCCCCCAAGCTGATAATAAAGTATTGTAGCTCATAGTAAAGGGATTTGTAACGGGTTTTAAAATATGACCGATTTTCATTATAACATAGATACTCACCTTCTAAGGGCACTAACTCCTGTGGGTCCATCTTCTATATCACTTTAAAGAGTCCTTAATGTATATCGTAAAATAGTTTTTAAGTCACGAACGCACTATTATAATCACATGTTAAATTATTCTCTTAACATCCATCTATATTCAGATGGCTATTTTTTTTTATACAAACTGCTCACACGAGTTCCACTGACTTCTCGACTCTGTTAAGAAGATAACACAATTATTTTTTTAGAAGCTCTTTATACAGCGTGTCGTTACAATCGCGACAATAAATGAACACACATATAGAGCATAAGTTTTTTAAAATTGTATTAAACATTTACTTTCTTTAAACATCAATATTTACCGAGTTATTAAATTTTACAAAACAAACATTTTTAAATTAATCTTACGTATAAAACTGTAACGTAAAGTTCATTTGTAAAGGTCACAAAGCATATCTAACATACTGTTAGGAGAGACTTGTCAATGGAACGTTGTGGCAACAAATGAAAAAGTCTGAATGTTTTTGAACAAAATTTATTTCTATTTTATTTAATTAGTTCGTATGAAAAATATATTTTTTGAAATATGGATATTTTTATCGTTTTATATTTTTTTATGATTATTGGCAAGTAGCGTTAGACGTGTGTTCATTTATTGTTGCGGTTGTAACGACACGCTGTATAATTAATTATCTTGTTCCGTAAAAAAATTCAAAGTTGACAACCTTTTGAAAATTGTTTTCCGGCCACCTCACTCACCAGACGAAACGCGAAAGTATTTTACTTCCACTTTACGCCGGTCTTCTGTTAGGTCGTGGTGCTTACCCGGACGAGCCTGCCCATTCGTGCAACAGCCGAGGCTGCTGCGTGGCCCTACCACCGTGAAGGTTCACCAAGTTTAACTATATTTAATTATAACATAATATATTTGTAATTTTGTTCGATAACTTGTTGCCATCTTGTAGGTAGTGACATAATCCCGTCGATGTAGAAGTTTTGGGACTTCTGATAAAAAATGCTTGCGATAAGTAGCAAGTGGTTCTACTCAAGTCCAAGATTACTCGAAATAATTTTGTAGAGGCTGAGATTTTGGAAATTCGAGGGTCCAAGGTCGGGACTATATGGTGCAAACATTAACACTTAAAAGTTGACTTTGTCAAAGTATCTTGTCATAGATCTTTATTCAATACTAGCACCCGGCTTCGCACGGGTGCAATGTATTATACATATGAACCTTCCTCTTGAATCACTCTATCTAGTAAAAAAAAACCGCATCAAGATCCGTTGCGTAGTTTTAAAGATCTAAGCATACATAGGGACAGACAAACAGCGGGACGACTTTGTTTTATACTATGTTCACTACATAATGCACAGCAAAGAGACGTTTACATTTCAAGTGAAATTTTACCACAGTTGTTTTGCCTTCCCGGAACCGCTCGAATAACACATAAACTTTATGGTATGGTGTTAAAGTTCAAATTGACTTAGAAGTATTATCACGAATCTTTTGTACGGGAATATAGAAGTGTTTTTTTTTTAGACTTTTTCAGGCATTTTTTTAAATTTTTCTCTCCGTAAAAACCATCCTCGTACTTCAAGGAATATTATAAAAAAAAATTGCGTAATCTGTTCGGCTTTTCTCGAAATTTGCGCTTAGCAACACATTCAACGATTCATTTTTGTATATAGAGATAGGCTTAACTTAAGCTCTTATTGAACGTATACAAAAAATCTACCACCGGTTCACTAAACTAGACCTGCACAGAGAAGAACCGGCAAGAAACTCTGCGGTCTTGTTCTTTTTTTTTTTTTCCTCTCTCAAACAAACTTAATTTTGACTAAACATGTGTGGGGTCTGACAAGATCTTGATAATAGAGCAATCCCTTTCTGTTTAGAGTTCCCGGCTGTTGTAGAGATATGATGGTTTCGCCCGGCGCTAAAAGCTCATACTGAACGATGATCGATGTTCGATGGACATGATCATTTGTTTTCTTTAAATGAGCTCTATGTGTGAAAATTGTTAAGTAGATCGAATCAAACATTTAAACGAGTCTTCTCTATTTCTATTTACACACCAGATTCTAATGTTTCTCGTATTACAAAACCGGTTAGGAAAAATACAATACCATCATCTGAATAACGCTTATATTTAACCCGTCTATCAGCTTATTTTGAACTCTCCCTAAACGGCTGAATCGATGAAGTCTTTTGTGTACGTTCAAGTGGATTCGAGAATGGTTTATATTCACAATTCGATCTACTACAAAATGTTTTTTTTTTTTCATTTTTTTTTATTTATATGTTTGATGAACTTTTAAGAGTCCACGGACTGAAAGCAAAATCATAAATACCACAAGTCATACTTTAAATAATAACAGATGTGATGTGTATCAAGTCGATGGATACAGGTGGCTCAGGATCACGCTTCGTGACACTCCGTGGAGGAGGTCTATGATTAGCAGTGGACTCAAATAGGCTGAAATGATGATGATTCTCGATAATGAAACATCAGGAGTTCCCCAAGCATATCCGGAGCCCAATATCCAATATCAATGAAATGAATATGGGACCACATGGGAAGCACCAGCTTTCAATTAAAAAAAGGATCATCAAAACTCAGTTCACCCAGTCGAAAGTTCTGAGGTAACAAACATAAAAAAAAATACAGCCGAATCGATGACCTCCTCCTTTTTTGAAGTCGGTTGAATAAAATATTGCATATTATATTTATATATGCGAAGAAAACATGGTCAACCTAGTGAAGACGGTGAGAACCGATCCAATGCATCTTCTGTGGGTCTTGATTCGTGCGACATTGCTGCTATAAAAGAATCGAAACTTATCTCTAACCTAGTAGATCAAGGTTAACCCCGGCTTTTGAGGCCTACAGTCAAGATAACATTATTGTAATATATAATGATAAATTATAAAGTTTAATAATTCGGTAATTTGGTGCATTATGTTATCATGCTTAGTGACAAGGAGTGATCTATTTAACTGTACTAAATAATTAACGTGAGTAGCAAACACTGTACGTAACTTGGGAGAAAAATAACTTGACTATTATTATTCAATATCTTTATGAGAGGTGTTATACGAAGTCAATTAGTTCAGGTAGCAATATGAATATATCCAGAGGTAAAGGTGAATTGCAATACGCTGATATAGTAGATTGATGATGTTATGACGACATAATATAGGGAGGCTTTTCTAAGTGTATCCATTTTTTTTACTAAATTCTAAACATAAATCATGTTATATAAAAAATGATAAATATTTAAAATCACTCGTAATTAATTAAATACATTAATTTTAACTTATCTCAAAAAGTGCGTGATTTATGGGCAACTGTATGTATATGGGAGACTTTTTTTTAGCTCAATAGCTTATATTATAACAAAAACAGTTTATTTTTGTTTTAAAATGATTAATTGTGCTATAACGGACTAAATAAGTTAAGGCTGACAAAAAATTTTGATATCAAGAAAGTCAAAAAGATTTTAAACAAGAAGTTTATTGTAGATCTTACATTGCCTCTGCCAGTGCTATCAGAGAGAAGCAACGAGGTCTGCGATCAAGGACTGTGATTTTTTTTTTTTTTTTTTTTTTTTTTTTTTTTTTTTTGGATTCTCTAAAAAAATAAAATTAAAAGAAACCTTGCACTTTATGTACGCTCATCATACGCATTCAGTTTTAATTCCCAATTTTTCGGTCCATTGATGTGTCCAAATCATTTAAAACTCCGCAACTTTAAATTTAAATTAATCAATACTTTCAATTATTGAAATAAATTCGCGCCAAAACACGTGTTAAATGCGCCAAAGATTACCGCGAACCGCACAGCTCTCGGCACAGCACCCACCAATCCCAGACGCGATTGACCCGCAACCCGCCAATCGCTGTGGCGAGTGTAATGATAAATTTAATTGTATACAATTGTATGAAAATTATTACAAATTCTGATCCATTTAACATTAACAGAGCTGGTTTGGATCCGCATCTTTTGAGCTTTAACGAGTGTTAACGACCCTAATAATTCGATAAGACATACGGTGAGCAGCTCGATATGTCATTGTTTTGATGATTAATGCGATAATTTTTTTTTATGTGAAAAGTTGTCAAACGAGCAGACGGTTCACCTGATGTTAAGTGAATACCGCCGCCCATAGACATCTGCTACACCCGAGGGTTTGCAGATGCGTTGACAAACTTTTGAAAATTGGGCTCCGGTCACCTCACGCACCAGAGGAAACGCGAAAGTATTATACTTTCACTTTACGCCGGTCTTCTGTGAGGTCGTGGTACTTACCCGGAAGAGCCTGCCCATTCGTGCAACAGCCGAGGCTGCTGCGTGGCCCTACCACCGTAATTGATTAATATTAATGCATTTGCAATTGCGTCGGATGATTCTATTTTAAATCTTCAGAAGATTTAAAATAGAATCATCCGATGCAATTAGATATTTAAGCAATTAGTACAAATTATTAAAGAAAACTGTTTTATGCATTTTATTTAATCTGTTTTAACTTCCGATCTTTCTAAGACTTTACACGAGTCTATGGTCACGGGACAAATGAAAAGCGATAGAAGATATAAGATTAGATATAAGAAAATTATGTAAAGCCTGAAATGTTGCAATGAAAAAACATTTCACTTTCATCTAAAGAAAAGAAATAAAAATGACCCTCATTTTTACCATAGAATTCTTTCTGATTTTAAAAACTGTGGTTCGATTAAGTATTAGAGACATGTTATAAAACATACCTTTTACCGATTCATAGAACTATAACTCAACAATGACTCAACAACTGGTACTTAGCTTTTTAAACAGAGCAACAGCTTTAACTTCGTAACCACGCGTACGTTGTGATAGCTGAATTTTTACCCCTTAAAAACAAATACCCCCCCCCCCCCCACTGTAGGGTGCAGGAAATATCACGACGCAATAGTTATCAAACCAACAACTTTCAAAAATGGCATTGACTTAATGGCATTGTCGACTTTTTAGGAAGCGGGTCTCGGCTGTCTCACTAGAGATGGGCTCCC